TTGATCTTGGCCACAATGAAGTCAGAGGCAGAGTTCTACCGATTGTTATGGAGTCAAGTTTGCACTCAGTTTTTGTAGTATAAATCAATTACAAAGTTAAAGTCCACTTGTGACTTATTAAAAATCCTGTAAACTCTGGTCTGCATTCTCAGTAAAACTCAACTTCCAAAAGAGCCAAAATTGCAAAGAGCTAAAAGCTCATTCTCTATTACAGCTATTTGAAGGCTTGGAAGAAGTTTCTTTCCCAAGCCACTTAATGGCAAGGAAGGGCTCAGTCATCCATTGGCATACACAAGATTACGCTGGGCATTTGACTGAATTACAAAGGGAAGTGCTTGTAAATTTCCTTGCACATCAGTGACCAAATGAAAATACCTACGAAAGTCTGATCACTTTGAAGGAAAACACAATCTGATCATCCCATACGTTATATGCTTAATTCCCACATCAGTAACATTGACATACAATGAACTGAATTAGGACTACCGAAACCACAGGACAGAAGTTCTGCCCTGTGAAAAGCTTCCCAACATAACATAAAAATGTAAATTACTGGGCTCTAAATTACATGCCCCAAATTCCTTGTTCCAAAAAATACCTGAGCAGCTTTGACTCTCTATCTGAGTCCTCAAGAGCACAACTTTGAATTTTGAAATCCTTATTCCCTAGGCTGACAGCAGCAAGATGAGGAGTTAGAAATGGTAACTTGCAGTCCTCCTAAAAGGGATCGTGTTTACTAAAGCAAACAAGTAGTTTCAGCAGTGCAAGTTCCACTCAGCACTGTACCCAAACCCTTCCAGACTGAGAAGGTGAAGTTTCAAATTTTCTTTAGATAATCCATAGAAACCCAACCTCAACAGTTTTGGAATGGGTTGGATTATTCAGTGACTGCCTGGAAAGGGAGCAGTTGCATACTAGCCTAAGCAGGAAAATAATCCACTTGAAAACATTTTCCCCACAGGCTGCTCTCGATAATCCTCTTCCCCATTTCTAAAGTTACTGACCCTTATGCTTATCACCAAACCTGAAACCACTGAAGTGGCTGTGATAAGAAAGCTGACCAAAATCAGTAAATACCGGGTTTAAACACAACAAAGATGGAGATAGAGAAGAACAAACAATCCAGCCCCCTTTATCACAAAGGAATGGATGGAGCACCCTGCCTCAGCCCCACACATACAAGCATCGTGCTTGCAGCATGGTCTAGAATTGCATTTTAGATTATTTTTATAAGTAGCTATCCTGACTGTTTTGGTTTTCTTGGGGTGGAAGGGAGGGCGGGTGTGATGAAAAAACATGTGTATTTTTCCCACAAGTGTATCTGGAGTTTCATTCCATTTGATCTTTCTGTTTATCTGCAAACTCCCACAACACTGGAGCACTTCCCATGGCTTTCTACCAAAGGAACTGTAAGGATGCTGGAATAATGACCTCTGATTTCTGAGATACACAACACATGTTTTTAGCCTGGAAAGTCCAAGTTCCTTACAAAACTTGGACACAAAATGCCCCCAAGAGTTACAAAATACCACAGGAAGCGAAATACACGGGTGTTTGGTATATTCTTTTCTTTTTTCCTAAGACAATCTAGAGGCAGACTGTAAGTTACTGTAATAAACCACAAGCAAGACAGCTCTGGAGGATTTTAAAAGCTTTAGAGCTGGGGGTCCATAAAGGGGGACTGTCATAAAAACCTGACTAGTCATGAGTACCATAGAGACAGAAAGGTAAGAACCAACTGTTGCTGTCTCTTCCAGTACTAGAAGCAGCCATCCACAAATGAAGCAGTAGCTGCAACAAAGCTAGCAGAGTCAGACCAGAGGGAAGTGGCTCTTCCTGCCACAGGGAGGAGACCTGTGGCACTTCCCGTTAGAATCTGCAGATACAAGTAGTTTCCATGGGCTCAGTGGACGGGTGGTCAAACAGAAAAGCTTGGAATCAACATCCTTAAGGACTTACCAAATGGGCAAACCAAATTGAGTTCAGGAAATCCCCGGAGCTGAAAGCAGCCGAAGCAGCTGCTGTGCTTATTCTATTCTTAACTCTTCTTTTAGGAGTCAGCTTCAGTCCATTGCTGCCCACAGCAGGATGGATAGTCTTAAACACCATGGCTGCTCTTCTGTTCCATGCAGAGTGAAGTGAAACCAGCCTAGAGTGCTGCAAAACAAGTCTTTAGCAGCTGATTTTATCTTGCTGATACAACACTAAATTCATCTGCCTGTTGGGTTTTTTTTAGTCTGGTTTGGTTGTTTGGTTTTGGTTGATCTTTTTAAAGAGATTTATCATCTCTTCAGTGATAACAAAAACATTATCTGATACTGCAACTATATCTGCAGGGGAAAAGAAGTGTTCTTAAAGACCTGGCAAATTGGATGTATATAAAGTATGAGGGATTAAGAAACCAACTTGCTTAACCTATTTTGACAAGATGAAGACTAAGGAGGGAACCGCTCCTGTCAAATAATTTTTATCAACTCATCTTAAATGACTGTCTAAACACTACAGCCCCAGTAGGATTGTCTTCTCTGTGATACAGACCTATCTATAAGACTATGAAAGAAGTAATCTTTGAAGTCAGATTTGTTGTTTAAAAGTGTCGCATATTACGCAAGATACTGCATAGTTCCAAGTTCTGCTGCTCGCTTTCCACTCTCCTCTAGGAACACACTGATACACTTCATTGTTACAAAAGAGACCACTAATTGTGTTCCTTTCTCTAGTCGTCCCAAAGATTCCTGAGTTTTTGACAGATCACTGATGTCAAGTCATGAATCTTTGAGTCCTGCAAATACCAGGGAAGAAAACTTACCACCCAGACAGGGGCAGCACTGTGAGAGCAGCAACCAAGGAAGACCTTTCCCACAAAACTGTTTATGAATTCCAAGGATTGTGTCTTTATTTCTGGAGAATCTGACATGAAAACAAACAAAGAGGAAAAAGTTACCAGGAAAACTTTTGACATGCCTCAGGAAGTCTGCCTTTTCCTCACCAGGAAGGTAAGAAGCTTCTGAGAACAATTAAGCCAGGAACAAGCCAGTAAATTTGGTTATGACAGCCATCTGTCACAGTGAAAGAGAGCTATCCGGATCAACCTTCTAGAAATGAGGTGCACCCAGAATGTGCTGCAGCCACAGTTCATCAGCTCATTCACCCTCCACCTGCCTTTTTTCATGCATCCTTTAATTCTGCTGCTCTGAAACGTGGTTCTGTATCTTTTAAGCTGCAGGAACCTATCACCACAAGCATCTTCTTGACCTCTGCATTTGCACAGAACAAAAATCATTCTCATCAGGGATAGGCAATAAAATTACCATCTTCAGAGAAGTCCTAAGTGGCACAAAGCTTTCCAGCTGATAATTACTTCCTGGAATTCCAAGACATTTTATGAATTTACATGATTGATGACAGCCCACAGAACAGAAGTAAAAGACTAAGTGGGAAAGGCCAGAAGTCAGGGTCTGGAGGGAATCAACATCACTTATGCAAGAATAAATGCTTCATTTCAGTTTGGATCATGAACAAGAACACACTGCTGTGAGCAACCACTAAAATAACTAACTTTAGCCTTCTGTGCTTATGAGTAAACCAAATTTTCCAATACTCTTAAAAAAGCCACAGAAGATCCACAAAGATCCACAGAAAAGTCCAGAACTACAACACACCACAGAAAAGAAACATGGACTGAAGCTCTGCTTTAAACTGTTCAAGAGCACAGCACTTGGCTAAATACTACAAGGAAATCCCAGAAAGGAGCTGCATCCAGGAGAGCTCAGAAAGGATCCCTCTGCCCCCACACCACCAACTGTCAAATACTGTTACAGGAAATGCAAAAAATTAAGGTTTAATGAGATTCATCACTGTAAGACATAAGTTATTCCAAAGCCCTTTTAATCCTGTGTGCCACATGGCAGTCCAGGCCTTTCTGCAGTCTGCCTCTGATCCAACTCAGGCTGCTGACAGCCAACTATTACCCTCTGCCCAGCCAGACCCCTTGCTCATTCCAACGATACCCAGATGGTATTTGTCTCTACCACATTCTCACTCCCAGCTCCTAATTCTGAGAAGAATTCTCTCATGTTTTCCTGTCAACACAGGAACTAGTTTCCCAAATAAGCTGATGCTTACATTTGAACTCCTCTCCCATCAAGATTTTCTTATCTTTAATTCTGTATGTGCCCTCAGTAACAAATTAGTTGACCCATCTCCAGGTACAACACTGATAACTAATAAGGCTTTTAAGAGCCTATTGACACCTGCTTTATCACTTAGCATTCCTACCCAAAACAAGACTCTGGAAGAATGCATGCATTCTGTTTAAACAGCATCTTTCAGGCAGAGCCTACAGGCACTCATTTCCAAATGTGTTCCAGTGAAGCTGCAACACCAGGGTTTTTAGTACCCGGAAAATGGACATTGGTTTGGATTACTAAGTTATCCTGGCTAGGGAACATCATCTTGAGTTACTAAAATCTTCATTAGTTCAACCTCCCCATTTATATTTTCATGGAATAAGCCTGGGATCTGAAAGCATAGGTACTTCATATTTAACAGCAGTGCATCAAAGTAACATTTCATTGACCTGACTTAAATACATCTGCCAAAAACTTGCACCATGCCAAAAATGAAACCTGTCAATATCTTACTAGAATTGTATTGGTACACAAACAGCAGTAAGAACATACCATCTCAACTGCATTCAAAAAGGGTGTTACCTTCATCATTACTTACAAGTCACACTTTTTCTGTAAGACTGCTTTAAGCCACAACAATTCACAAATCATAAAGGGAGAATCTAATAAATTAATTGAGAGCCACAATATTGATTATTGCAAAATACTCCAAGTCACATTACTGGTTTTATTTTTCAGAGAAATCCAAGAAGAATCAAAAAATAGTGGTTTGACTCTAGACAGTTATATAAATCTTGTGAAAGAATGAGTATGCTCCTTCAATAACAACATCTGAGCAGTTTTCAAGAAGAAACTATGTCGAGGAAAGTCTGCATAATTTCAAGCTATTTATTTACTCATTTATCTGTGTTAGCTGCTGTATTTCTTGTTTTATTTAGAGTTTTTTTCTATAATTAAATAGAAAAAAGAAAATGCATTTTACAGTGGCAAAAATTGAAATTCTCCACTTTCATTTATACAAATAGAGTTCGACCAATTCTTTAAAAGCGCCGGTTTATTTTTCTCCTTTTTCTCCATGATGTAGCCCAAAATCCATTGTCTGTGAAGAAACAGCAAAGTTTATTCTAATAAAGCTAGCGAACAGATAATTTTTGGCCCCATGTCTGTAAAAAAAAACAAAAAACCAAAACCTCTGACTGCAGGAAATCACATGAAAAAAATCTATAGACTGAAAAATAAAAATCAACCCAACAATCCGTTCTAGAAAATCTGGACAAAATGTCACCAAAAAATTCATCATTTGCAAATAGGTTCATATCTATAAGATACAAAGGTGCTCGGCCAAAGCATAGGAAGAAGTTGGCGCATCACCAAATGATGTATTCCTTCAGGAAAGGGCTGTTGTCCAATAGTAGAAGCCTGACATCTAGCGGCTTCCACATCATTTGTTCACACACCTAGGCCGTCGTACAAATAGCCAAATAGGCTGCCTAACTTTAGTGTTAAAACAAATACCATAGTGCTTATGGTAGTACCTGTGGTTAAGTGTCTGTATTACATATGCATGTGTTGAGTATCTTCAAATGCTTTCCTTTCACTAACTGAATTTAAAAACCAAAACAAAGCAGAAAACCTGTGCTTTTATGAGCTATAATTGATGCAAAAAGTAATCTAAACCCTTAATACCAGAGATAAAAGATCCAGTTTATATATTAATGCTATATTGTTCTAATACAACCCATTAAGTGCTATGTTCTTGAGTAATTCTCTGTAACTGGGTTGCAATTCTTGCAAAAGCTGTCTCCCAAACGAAGGTCATCCTATATAGCATTTACTTACAGGCAGCACTATATTACACAAATACTTTTAAAGGTCACAGACTCAAGCAACAGAAAACCACCCTAATCTCTCCAAAAACATGGAGACTACAAAAGATACTATAGAACATGTTTGCACTAACAGACAGCGCTAGCCTCACGCTGGGACCAAGACAATCCAAACTTCTCTAAGTTAGTAAATAACCCGTGGTGAGACCAGAGTGCTATATTACAGTTATAGCATTACTTTTGTTAGGTTCTGTGCACTGCCCCTCTAATAACACATTACAAATAAAACAAAATAGTAATTAAAATTTTGTTGATCCTTTCTTATACCCTTGTTATGTACTGGAGAAATGACCATCTTTTTCTCAAAACATTATTGTTATGGTGCAAATCCTTGCTCCCAGAGCTGTATGCTTTATTTTTACTTTTGACTACAAAAATTGCACTTCTGAAAAGGACAAGGAATCACAAACTGCTTAATTTGAGTATTACAATACCTTATTTTACAAGTGTAGTGTGTGCAATTCATCATTTCAGTGAAATTTAATAGTTACAAATAAACTGTGTAAGTACAGTACGTTTCTACAGAAAGCAACATGGATAATCAATATTCTACCATTTGAAACAAAAACAATAAATAGAAGGTTTAAGTATTAAAACTAAGAAAAAGTATTCCTGTACACTGTACAGTACATTTTGGTTAAAGCTTCTTAGCAAAAATATAGTGTTTTAAGCATTCCAGTTACAGATGGTTCAATATTAAAATTTCAAGGTTTCTCCATCATGAAAAAAATATTGCATTTTTCCATAGGTGCATCAGAAGAAACTGACTCTCTCTGAACAAGGCTTCAGTCTTTAGAAATATACAGACAGTAGGTATGAATTCAAATAAGACATTACAAAATTATAATACAGTACTGAGGATGTATGGTTGTTGTGCATTACGGATTTTACATTCCTTCTTATTTTGAAAAAGCAAAACTAGAGAGCCCATTGTATATCACTGAGTTCTGCTGGATCCCCAAGTCCTCCATCAGCCTCCAAGTAGTTCATAAGAGCTGTCATAGCAGTGTCATCATTTTCACATATTGCATCAAAGTCCAGCTGAGAATTACCACCTATAAAATTATTAAAACATTAATGCAAGCAGTACAAAGCATGAAGAATATGGTAACTTTCAAAGCACATTTGCTTTTAAATAGCACCTTCCTTTGAAGCCAAGGCAAGCATATGTTAAAAAAAATAATCAAGTAATAGAAATAATGGCTATCCACAAACAGTTACAAGGACATAGATAACTTGATTTAAGACAATGACTGAAGTCTTTGGCTGCTCCCTTGGACTACCTCCAACTGCTAGCTAACAAAACTTGTATCCATGCAGTAAAGTTCATATCACTGAAGCAGAAAACTGCATTCTACTTTATGTCACTTCAATGGGAAACACAGTTGTGTACCTGAATTCTCATCTGATGTACTCTGCCAGATGAACTCCTGAACCTTAAGAGTTGCTATGTGTTAGCTCTAGAAATAAACACTATACCCTTGCCTTTAACAAAAGTAAGGTAAAATGCTTTGGCTCAAGTATCAATGAAAAACATTTCCTTGTCTATCTTAGATAACTGTTGTTGGTTTGGATTTCTTTTTCAAATACTTATTTGAGGATTAGCTTTTTTTCTTTTTCTCTTTGGATTTTTTTAATACAAAGAGCTCATAGGAAAACTGGAAGAAAGTTGTAGGTTATAAATAAGTAAAGCTCTAGTAATGGCAATGAAAGAGGGAGATGGAAAAGTTTCTAAGAGATGAAATAAAGCAGAAGCATAAACGTTACTTTTATAGCACTTTGCCTTTTATATTAAAAACAACACCATAGAATTCTCCTCTTACAATGCCAGGGAATTCTATATCCAGATAAACTGCTGCTTTAGTACACACTTGAACTAAGGGATAGGGAAAAATAAAACTCTTTCTAAAACATTTTGACTAGCCGTTTGTATGGACTATTCACAGCTTGCAGTTAAGACAGAGATGAAGTGCTTAAAGGACAAAAGTTTACAAGTTCACAAATTACATCCAGTTCCATTACATTGCACTGAAATTCTCTATTTTCTGGAGAGAGAACTAGCAAGTACCTAATTAAAACTGTGGCATGCAAGAATGCGATGGTAAATTTCTATTACACAATGTTATTTTTATCACAAAATTCAATCACTGATCAAACTTTGCTGCTTGCCTTCCAATGATAACATATCAGTTTTAAGAGTCCTCTTCAGTCAGACAAACGCCTTTACAATTTATACATGGTTGTAAAGTTGTGCACTCAAAAATTACACCATTATCAGAAATGTCTTCATGTGCAGCCCTCAAAACACCTACAAGAGCAACAAATCTTACCAAGGAGAGGTTCATTACTGGGATATGGACTAGCACCCTGGTTTTGTTCTGAAGTCTCTGTAACTTCTGACTCCGAAGGACATAACTGAATCAACTCTTTATTTGGCACCTGAAAAAAGTAGTAAAAAGGACAGAATTAAATCCTGAATTTAGTCACAATTATTACATTTCAGAAAGTTAAATCACTGTCAAAGTATTAATAACTAAATAGAGTAAATTAAGACTATGCAGATCTACTGCATTTAAGAATAATTTTTACATAGCACTGGACTTGGCTTAAGTAAAAGGTGCTACTTATACATCTGTGTAAGTAGACTTTACAGCGATGGCATCTTCTTTGAGGGTTCAATATTCAGCAACTAGATTCAGCACAACAAATTGTATTGGTATATACATTCCATGTCTAGTACCATAAACTACAAATTCCCAGTGACATCATGTCTGTCAATGTTGACACATTCTAGCTAAAAGATACATACACAACAAAAAAAAAAGACCCTCATACCTCCCATGTTCTATATGCATTAAAGCATATGAATTATAAACTTTTCTCTAATGTTTTGCGTTTTGTTACCATCATGATAAAAATCTTTGATCTTCAGAAAAATTAGGCTAACAACGATAGAGATGGAAGTCATTCTAACCCAAACATACCAGGAAAAAAACCCAACCTTTTTAAAAAGCTTTTGTTATTTGTTTCATGTAACTCAAGCATGCAGTTTAGCAGGAGAGGTTTCTTGGGCTGCCTGACTTGTGTATATTCTACAAGGAAATTAATACAGTTGAAATGCCTTACAAAAGCATTTTAGGAACAAATGGGATATCAAAGTATAAAATAAAGAAAAACCTTGAATGATTACAATGAAATTATCCTTATGATGGTATGCTGCAAGACTTAGAGAGTTCAGTATATATGAATTCAACCAACTCTTAGGGAGAAAAACCTGCAGTAAGGCATAGGAGAACTGGTCATAAAAAAGGAAGGAAGCCAAAACAATCCCTAGTCCAGAATGGAATTGTTAGGAAATGAAAATTGCAATGGGAAGACAGACTGTCTTTAAATGGAAAAAAAATTACATTCAAAGACATGCTGATGGAGAAGTAAATGTCTTTTCATACAGTGCACAACATACAACATACCATATACTTAAAATATCTAATTATTCCATAGGTATGGTCAGTATCTATGATAGTTATAGTTTGTGGTGTTACCAGCACTACTAGATTAGCAAAATAACACATTCTATCAATTTTTAGAAGACAAAGTTCTTACTCTTTTTTATTTTTAATTTTTTCAAAGTAAAAATTTGAAACATTCAAGAACTGAGAACCTACAACAAAGACTTCTTAAAAGGGTCTTCAAAAACACTAAAAGGACAAATTAGAGAAAACAAGAACTGATATTTTATTTATATTTAGGTTGTCAACAGGCAAAGACATTTCTACCCTCTGACAGTTTTTTAGCAGAAGTTTTAATGCAATTCCAAATCCAGAAATGTCCTCATCACATGAATTGCATTCATATTTAGCATATTAGTAGAGCTTCAGCAGAGATCCTAATAACTGAGTGGAGACTGCAGCGCTCTTAGCCTCAGGAATAGACCCCTTAAGACTAGAACTGACGCCCCTGTAAGTGAGGAAGGAACTTTTACTGCTGTCACATCTCTCAAAAGATGTTCACAGTTGCCAGGTAGTTGGGTAATACCTTACAAGGCCTTTCACAAAAATGTAAGTCATGGTAATTTCATTCCAACATAGGCTTTAAGCTATATGACATTAACTTTTTATTTTCAGATATTTACAGGCAGTGACATACTCACATTGCTGCAGTTTACAGTTAAAGCTGGAGAAGGTGACTTTCTCAAGAGATGTGATGGACTTAACTCCTCAGATGGTGAAGAATGTAACCTACAATTGTATATGTTTAGTTGATTTATCAAGTGACATTGATCATCAACAAAAATAGCCTATTGCTGAACCCGCTAGACCTCCCCAGTGATGAAGCACAAGCCAACTAATCTGAGACAATGTTGTCTTACATTCTCCTAAAGATTCCAAACCTCCTGCTCCAAGTTTTGATAACACAAAGAGATCAATAAAGGCCAATGGTCATAATTACACACACTTTTATTTCTTCTGTTGAATCACCAGCACTGACAGACCAAAGAGTAACAGGTTTCAGAATCATGCACACTGAGACAAATAGGTACATTTCAAATACATCTAGCATACAGACAACATAAGGAGGTTCTGCTAAATGATAGAGAGAAAACACATACTTCTAACGTTCCCTCTACTATTATTTTGTTATACCTGTCTTTCCATAGTTTCAAATTATTCCAAGTAAAAATACTTTTCTTTTAGCAGAATTCTTGAGATACTGCTCAACATCCCTCACCGAATGTGCCAGATACAAAACAAACAATGAAAGTGTTGTATCATGGCCCTTTGAAGAGCTTGCTCCCATAGAATCATAGAATAGTTAGGGCTGGAAAGGACCTTAAGATCATCAAGTTCCAACCCCCTGCCATGGGCAGGGACACCTCACACCAAACCATGTCACCCAAGGCTTTGCCCAACCTGGCCTTGAACACCACCAGGGATGGAGCATTCACAACCCCCCTGGGCAACACATTCCAGGGCCTCACCACCCTAACAGTAAAGAACTTCTTCCTTACATCCAATCTAAACTTCCCCTGTTTAAGTTTTAATCCATTACCCCTTGTCCTATCACTACAGTCCCTAATGAAGAGTCCCTCCCCAGCATCCTTATAGGCCCCCCTTCAGATACTGGAAGGCTGCTATGAAGTCTCCATGCAGTCTTCTCTTCTCCAGGCTGAACAGCTCCAAGTTTTTCAGCCTGTCTTTCTAGGGAGGAGCTCCAGTCCCCTGATCATGCTCATGTCCCTCCTCTGGACTTGTTCCAACAGTTCCATGTCCTTTTTATGTTGAGGACACCAGAACTGCACACAGTACTCCAGGTGAGGTCTCACAAGAGCAGAGTAGATGGGCAGGATCACCTCCTTCAATCTGCTGGTCATGCTCCTTTTGATGCAGCCCAGGATACAGTAGGCTTTCTGGGCTGCAAGCGCACACTGAAGCCGCCTCATATTCATTTTCTCATGGACCAACACCCTGAAGTCCTTCTCTGCAGGGCTGCTCTGACCCAGGTCTAGGACCTTGCACTTGGCATGGTTAAACTCCATGAGGTTGGCATCAGCCCACCTCACAAGCGTGTCGAGGTCCCTCTGGGTGGCATTCCTTCCCTCCAGTGTGTCAACCGAACCACACAGCTTGGTGTCATCGGCAAACTTGCTGAGGGCGCACTCAATCCCACTGTCCATGTCACCGACAAAGATGTTGAACAAGACCGGTCCCAACACCGATCCCTGAGGGACACCACTCATTACTGGTCTCCAGCCGGACACTGAACCATTGACCACAACTCTGCGTGCGGCCATCCAGACAGTTCTTTGTCTACCGAGTGGTCCACCTATCAAATTGAAGTCTCTCCAATTCAGAGGCAATGATGTCGTGTGGGACAGTGTCAAACGCTTTGCACAAATCCAGGTAGATGACATCAACTGCTCTACCCCTGTCCATCAGTTTTGTAGCCCCATCATAGAAGGCCACCAAATTGGTCAGGCAGGATTTCCCCTTAGTGAAGCCATGCTGGCTGTCACCAAGCACCTTGTTGTTTTTCATGTGCCTTAGCATGCCTGCCAGGAGAATCTGCTCCAAAATTTTGCCAGGCATGGAGGTGGGACTGACTTGTCCGTAATTCCCTGGGTCATCCATTTTCCCCTTCCTGAAAATGGGGGTTGTATTTCCCTTTTTCCAGTCATCAACTACCATCTACCCTTGCTCTTCCTAACTCCCAAAGGACAAGAGTATAGAAAAATTGGGGTACTCTGGATGCTTCTGTTTCTGTCATTTCATCAGATCTGAAATGTGCTAAGGCATTGGAGGAAAGATAGAAAATGGATGAATAAACAGTCTATCAAGAGCTGTTTGTGGTGAATATCTGATAGTTCCCTATATTTCAATTTCCCATGTGCCTTTTGATAAGCAGTACTGACATCTCTAAAAGCCAGGAAACTCCAGACTGAATAGACTGTTTTAACTGCATTGCTGTAACTGAACTGATCATTCATCAGATGCCAATTCAATTCAAATATGGCTGTAAACAGAGCCGTAGGCACAGTCCTGGATTTTTTAAGAAAACTTGATGGTGCCTGATGCACAGCTTGAGAACCATCTGTATCTTATTGGTATTAAAAATGCAGAGAGTAGATGCAGGTAATAAATGCACTCATCCTACTGGATTAGGTTTGTAGTCAGAAAGGTATTTGATGAAAAGCAGCTGCTGTTAGCCTCTGTTGATCACTCTTTTGTCCAATTCTGATTTCCTCAGTGTGCAAAATGATAACTTGATTTCATAGAAATGAGAAATGAAGAAATAGCATGAAGTTCTGCTCTTCAGCAGGAAAGAAACACAGCCTCGTTTTCAGCAACAACTCTGGAAAAGTGAACTACATCTGGGTGCAAGCAACTACATCCCGACATTTCCAGAAACAGTCAGTTCTTACAGACTGCTTGTGGTTTTAAAAACACAAATACCAGAATTTTCAAGGTGTAGCTTTGAAGATTTTTGCAGGAATACATTCATTCTTTCATCATTCAGCAAATTTAGTATTCATCTACTTCAACTTGTTTCCTTAAGCTGATGAGACACATATGCTCACATGGATAAGCATTTTCAGCAAAAGTCAGGTCATTTCAATCAAGAACATCACACTGAAGTGTCTGAAGCATCTAGAACAAGAGTCAAATTAAGCTCTTGGGTCATGTGTGGGATCTTAACAGTCAGAGATGAGAACTTCTGCCAACTTCTTGAGTCTTCAGAAAGATATTAATAGATTAATTTTATTATTAATAAGTGACTCTCCTTCTGTCTAGGTGGTACTGATGAGAGGACATTAACAATGGTATTTCCAAAATGTAATACCCCATCTTCGCTGCTGCTGTATCAATCCTTTTTTTGTTGCTAGTGTTTTTCTTCCCCCTTTCTGGAGAATTCCAGCAACCTTCCAACATGCCTTGTGGTAGACTTAATTTCTGTTGTTGTTAAGTAGCAATTTTTTTTCATCACAACTGAAATATTTATTCTTTTCTTCCTTGCATTGAAAATTAATGTTTCCCTGTTCAATCTGACTATTCTAGTAAAAGGATGTGGCTTCACAGTTGGAATGCATATGGATAATGGAAACAGAGTAAGAAACATCTACCACTGTCACTCATGACACTCTTCAGCTTTGACCACGGTTTTCACTGTTTCAGAAAATTAAATACTTTTTTTCTGATGAAGAGACAGCTGAAAAGATGATGGTAATCCTGGACTTCAGCATGGATTTATGAAGGGGAAATCACACTTAACCAACCTGACAAGCCTTCTACAAGGAGGTGACTAGCACAGTGGATGAGAGGATGGCATTGGATGTTGTTGATGTTGACTTCAGTAAAGCTTTTCACACTTTCCCTTAACAACCTCACAGGTGAGCTGATGCTTACTTCTGAAACAGTAGAAACTAAGTGATGGCATACTGATATACCTATAGACTGGAGAACAACAGGCAGTGCAGCCCTGTTGAAAGAGATTTGGGGCTTTTGGTTGATGGTAAGTTCAATGTTAGTCAAAAACATACCCTGACAGCCAAGTGGTATTCTGAGTTGCTTTAAGCTAACCAGTCAAAAGAAGGGATTGTCCCACTATATTCAGCATTGGTGTGGCCTCACCTGAAGTACTGTGTACCGATTTGGGCTCCACAGTATAAGGATATAAAAATATTAGAATGTGTCCAAAGGAGGGCAGCAAACGTGGCAAAAAGACTAGAGGGCATGACTTCTGAGGAACAGCTGAGGATACTGGGTTTGTTCAGCTCAGAGGAGAATAAGAGGCGACCCCATTGCTGTCTATGACTTCCTTATAATGGAGAGCAGAGAGGGAGGTGCTGATGTCTTTTCTCTGGTGTCCGGCAGTAGGACGTAGGGAATGGCTTAAAGGTGTATCAGGGAATATATTAAGATCATCTTCACTGAGAGGATGGTCAACCACTGGAACAACCAGAGAAGTGGTCATGACCCCACATCTGTCAATATTCAAGAACTGTTTGGACTTCACTCTTAAATATATGTTTTAACTTTAAACTGCCCCATGTAATGTCAAGAGTTGGACTTGATCCTCATTGGTCCTTTCCAACTCAGGATATTCTAGGATAGAGACCTATTTCTTATACCATTACCACTGTTGCAAAAACTGGTGTACTTCTTCCTGGAAGATATAAGTAGTATTACTACTCTTTCAGATCCAGTTGCAAAAGTGCAAGTGGAAAGAACTACATAGGACTTTGAAATGCACTGCTCTGAAGACAAAAAAAATACCTTGCCATTCCTTTACCTGGTACTGGAATTATAAGACCTAAAGTCTGAGGGACACCTTCATTACCCAAAACTAAGACTTACATAACTTCTCCTGTGCTGATGATAGTACCGTTATCCTAAATCTGCCCTTAACAAAAGTACTTAGATCTGATGAAGCCTTAATTGCTGAAAGAGTTGCAAGTGAAACAGACTTCTTCTGTGCATGTGTGTCCCAAAGTCATGAAATTAGGGGGCTCAGAGACTTCTTAAAAATTGTTTTTAGACAACAAATGATACAGTACCAACTGACATAGAGTAATATGGCAAGTCAGCCACCACAAAAAAAAATACTCTGGGTACACACCACAAAAAAATACTTAAGATATCTTCACATTAAAATTATGTTTCTTCCTTTCAAATTCCTTGCCTAAGCTGTGTACCTGCTAACATTAGTTAGTTTTTAAAAGGGCCAATCTTTAATTCCCAATTTGAATCTTGTATGGATTCCCCTTTGGAATGATGCAGTGGGGTTTTTTTTAATCTATGGCTGGGTATGGGAGGGAATTGTGCTATTACTTTTGCCTGCATTGAGGATAACCAGGCAAAGGACAATACAGCCTATGAAAGTGCTCCATTGGGTACTGTTGCAAGGAAAGTTCCCCTAGCAGAGCAGCCCTATCAGAAAAATACAAACATTACTCACAGTCAACTGATTTTCCATTCCCATATGATTTATCTACCCATGCCAACGTCATGTGAAGCAGCTGCATCACAGTTAACACTTCTGAAGTCACAATTAAATAATACTTTCACTAACAAAGGAATCTGCATGCCCAGAACAAAACTATTTATCGACATCAGTGATGTTTTCTGACATGTATGAGACTAACATTAGATTATAATCAATCAGTATCTCATACAGCCACTGCTCAACCTAAAAATATTTATACATATAATACAATAAAAATGAAACGAACAACCCTCACATACTGCCATATACCTCTTCTTTATCTTAACTTAAAAGCCTAATGCATGATGTTAAGCATTTATTACCTTTGCAATTCTAATATTTCATTTGCAATTTCGGTTCCTATACTTCCAGCACCAAGAACTGTTCCAGAGGACATTCCAGGTACACGTACTAAAGACTGTTTTACAGCATCTACAGTTAAAACAAAACACAACAAAATGAAAGCCTTAAATCTGCAGCAGTTTCATTACAGAGCAAGGACAATCATGCAAGGATCCATTATTTTCAGAAATTAAATTCTTTACAACACTGACTGATGGGAAAGGGAGTTGTCTCATTTGCAATATGAAGATAAGTTTATAGCGTATTTGTGAAAATTCCTGATCTCCACGAAATTAGCTTTAATCATTACCACCTCTTACAGGCAATGCAAAACACAGGAAACAAAAACCCCACTGAATTTTTCACAAACTGAAAGCAGTTATTAAAAGGAACAATTTCAAAAGCAAAAATAAAAAGCCTTATATAAAAAAGATAAAAACCTTATATAAAAAATACATAGAAATCAGAATCCATGCACAGCAGAAAAATATTAAAATATACATCAATATCAGCATCACCCTCTATTCTATAGGTAAACTCAGTACAATTGCATTTCTTCAGAAAACAAGGCAAGATATGAACAGAGGCTGTGACAGAGGTATAATATCCTATCCTATATTATAGGATATTGATATTATAGTAGCTACAGTAGAAGCTGCTAGAAGGAAAAGATATGATATAGGCTTTTCTGATCAGTGTTATGTGAATGATATGAATTATGATGCTGTAACTAGAAATTTTCACCAGAATTAGCTTTAAAAAGTTAGTATTTCCTTGTACACAACCTAGAATAAAAAAGATTCCATGCACCTATGATAACTGTAAGAAGCAACACTTGCCTTCTGCAGGCTGGGAACTGTAGAGGACCTCATCTTCAGCTGACTCATTATGACCTCTAAGATTTAAATAAATGAAATTATTTTAAAGACCCCAAATCAGCAAGTTTTTCACAGGGAAACCCCAGCATATTTATGTATGATTTCAACAAGAATTTTACACAGAGAAAAAACTAACATCCTCAAACTAGTAACATGTTCCTATGTTCAATACTCTGTACTGTTTCTGAAGCATTGAGTGAAATATTATTTTCACTTATTCTCCAAATAAAGAAAGGCCAATATAATTGTCTGTGTGCCATGACAAGAGAACAATAACACTATATTTACTACTAGGAGGCAGACAGCTAACCAGGAAAAATTGCTACAAGGACAGGCAGCCTCTGCCTACCTTCCTTCCTCCAGAGAGCTGCAGATGCCCAGAGGTCAAGGGCAGGCAAAACTGGCCTTTGGCTGTTGGATAGCATAGGCTACCTTAACTGCTCTTCTCTGTCTTCTTGAAGGAAAAGGACATGGCCAAAACAGACATGTTGACTTAAGACGTGAACCAGCTACAGAATGGGTAAAAGGCCCCTTTGACATCTCAAAAACCCAGTCATTGGCAAAGATCCCCAGGATCACTGGAACAATCAACCCAAATTATAGTTCATTTGCAAGTCTCAGAAAATGAAAAAGAATTAAAAAGAAGAATTAAATACAGACTTTAGTGTCTCACAGTCTCCTCCTTTGCAATCAACTTGGAGGTGATCTTTTTGTCCTGCCTTGCATTTCTACAGTCTATCAGCTGTGCTTCTCCACATTCTCACATGCAGTAGGTAGGTCAACTGACATGCAGTCTTGTAAAACTCAGAGGGAAAAGCAGAACTAACTTCACGTTTCCATTTATTCTTATGTACTTTTCTTAAAAGATCCTTCATTTCTGCCTTTAATGGAATTTTTCACCTCTTTTAATTTTTTTTTTTTCTTTCTACTGGGAAATAGCAGAGTCAGAGTCAAATCCATAACTTAAGCCTGAAATAAAAACAACTGGTGAAGGCAAAAAAATGTCCTTCAGGTTACTCAACCACTTTTTGTGCAGTGCTGACATTTTCTAGTCTTGTTCTGCTTCTTAAACAGGTTCCTTCCTGCTAATGCTAACTGTAATTAAGACAAAAAAGATAATATGGGGAGGTCATATGAATTACTTACAATACCACAGTGTTGTTTGATACAATGTATTCCAGTTCTTTGGTCCACGGATTCATGAAACTAAACCACTGACTCTTTAAAGTAACAAAAGTCCCATCTTTTGCTCTAAATTTGTAGGAATTTGTAAATATTTTTTCTTTATTCTGCAACACTAAATAAGAAAGGAAAGTTTTAATCACCATATTTATTCTTGGAAACATAAAGTTTAATAACAATAAAAATCTGTTTAATAGCATCATAAAACAAAAACAGTTTTGATGGCCAATAACACAAATTAAATGCCAGAACAACTGACAGGACAGGACCCTTACTAAACCCAAACTATAGTTTCAGCATTGTTATTAATCTGAAATTAAAGACCAAGAAGTATGCTTCTGCATACTGCTAGTAGGAAGCCTCCTGACTTCATGAACTTTCATAATCAGTGTCTTTATATAATTAGCACAGTTGCTTTTCAGGATTCTTTCCTCATTCTTTTAAAGAACTGAAGCAGAGGGTTGAAAGAAGCATTAACATTATTCCCTTGCAATTAAAGCACTGCACTAAGATCCAAGGCAACAGAAGTTTCTCTCTGCTTTTATTACAAGCTTTATGCAGGCGTGTCTTAACACAGATGTGGAAAAGGACAATGCTCAGACTGTTTAGCTTTCTTAATTCTCAGCTTCTGGTATTTGATTTGTAGTGTTTTCACACAGCAGCTAAACGTAGTTGTAAGTAGTCTGGGAAGACCAATTTTTTGTACCTTCTTTATGTTTTTCAGCTAGATGATTGTGATCATCTTGATGGCAGTACTCGTAACATGAAGTCCCTAGAAGCTCTTGTGGCAGATACCCTAAAATTGCTGTTGCACTGTTAGAAATAAAAACATGAACTACAGCGGATTCAAAGAACTGCAAAGCTGTATTCTTCAGTATCAGATAAAGCAGAAAATTAATATGTAAAGAAATAGATGCTTGTATTCATGTTTCGGAAAAAGATATAGCATTAGTATAGCTCTAAAACAACAGGAAATATTATTTGCTGGAAATTATCCATTTGCAAGGAATGACAATTTAAAGACAAAATAACAATGTTTAAATATGCAAACCACAAGTACACACAAAATACTTTTGATCATTAGGTCTTCCCATTAGACAATCACTGGTCACGTAGGAATCATTAAAAAACAAACAACCAATCAGTAGCTGAATTTTGCTCTGCCACTTTAAGGAATAGGTTTAAACTGTCACTTTTAGATAGCAGACAAAATGACTGAAAGCAATAAAAAGCTTCCAGTGACAATAATGACTCAGTCTCTACATCAAATAAAAGTCTGCTATAGGAAGTTCAGGAAATAGGAACTTCACTTTCGCTTCTAATGAAATAATTTGGTACCTCATTTAGATAGAATGTATTTGTTCCAAATAGTAAGATTTAAAGAAGTATAATTTTTGGTGAAGCATTTATTGCTTAAGTCATATACACCACTATAAAGCTCTAACTTGAGATTTTTTCTTTATGAATGAGTAAGTACATGAGTGCATTTTATGACATTTTAATCTTGCTACCTCACCTTTTCCTATAGGACAATACACTTTTATACATTACATTTTGTTTGACAAAAAAACCAAAGCGCAACTACGCATAGTTACAAAATGAATTGCACCTAAAAACCTATCCTGTCTGAGAAATCACAGTTCTGATTGAAAGGATGACAAAATTTAACTGGTGGTGCCATTGTCATTTTCTCTTCATTAAAGAACAAAACGCTTACCGCTGATCTACATAAACAAATTTTCCATCCATGGCAAACCGAGTAACAAATTCTGTTGCTTTGACTTTTATCTCTCCACTCTTCTGTGGAACAATATAAGGGTGTAACCTCCCAATTGCAACAAGACAGTTAAAGTTACTACTGTCCTTTTCCACATCAGTTTCCTCTTCTACTCCCACCTCATTAGGAGGCCAGTTCTTCATATACCCAGTGCAATGAATGGTACAGTATTTTCTGTGATCTAATGAAAAACAATGAAATAAGAAGCAGTCACACTTCAAAAAGTAAACTGAATTACCTTCTTTTATTCTGTTCACTGTAAGACCACAGCAACTATATTTGATGCTTACCTACAACTGTACAAAACGATAGATATTTTTACAGGGTACTTTTTAATTAATTTTGTACAACTTAATTTTGGCTTACCTGGAAAAACTGCTTCTAACCCTATGTAAATTTAGGAAGGTAAGTTACAGGTGTTGGCAGTTCAAACACAGTCTCACAGAAATAAAAGTAAATCATCAGTCTGGTAACCCACAGATCACTTTCTCTTTATATGGTTGTATATGTATTGTAAATGAAAATAAACTAGAGAGGCCCTCTGTAGTTTCCAAATCAATTCACCTTTTGTGAACATGATGACCTTAACATACTGCAATTGCTAAAAGAATCGGTCAAGAGAGCATCCCAAAACAGCCCAGCTTGTTTTCTATTTATCTCAGGCTTCTGAAATCCTCAGTTCTCTGGGAACACGAATATTTTATAAGTCTTAAATTACAGCTTACACTGTCATTCATCCCTATGGCTGGTAGACTCTCTGATGCCTATATAACATACAAACACCCCCATACACATCAAAACATAGAGATGACATTATGTGTCCTGAACTATCTTTCAAAAAATTGCCAAGGAATTCTTGATACCTCCATTCTGAACAAAGTATGTTTTACGCAGATTCAATTTCCTACCAACTATGCAAAATGAAAAAATGAATTATCTACTATGACTTTGTCACAATTTCTCAGACTGTTAAAGCGCCTTCTCTGAATACTGCTTTCCTGCAAAACATTTATAACAGTTAAATTCTTATCTCACACCAGGTTAGCTGGCACACCAAGGGAGATTGAATTCTATTTACTTACAGACCTATTTTAACATTTACTATTGTATAGCATATCTCAACAGTAACAGGTTACACTGGAAAAAAAAAAAAAGTAGGAGGATTTATTCAGGGTCAAACAATTTCAGCACACCTTTGCAAAAATCAATACTAAGGTATTAAACAGAAGCTGGAAATTCCATTTTAGAAAGATCGATTCACTGAAAACTTTACAAGAGTCAACTGCTGTACAGGCATACCAAAATATGAAGTAGATTAAAATTATTGCAAAAAATAATGGAATTACACTGATAAATTAACTTTTAATAGTAAAAGAAAAAAAATAATTTTTTTAAGTACACAACACAGAAAAGTAAATTTAAAAAAGTTGGTTTACTTGCTTTTTTCCTTCAAAACAGTAGATTTTGCAGGCCTTATTCACACAGATATCTTCAAGACACAGGTTATTTAGTTTTCTCCTTCTGATCTGCTCCAGTGCTTTAAAAAATTTCCCCGAGACTTCTAAAATTTAACTACAACAAACCATGCACTCTTAAACAGCCACTGTGACTCAGGTTCCTCCCTCCTTTTCCAGGAGTAAATAGGGAGGAGAAAGAATACAATTAAACTGTTTTTCAAAACATGTCTCTAGTATATATTTACACTCTTTACAGCTACTTTTAGTGATAACTGCAAGGGTCACACTACTGACTCAGAACTTAAACATACCAAATTTAAAGACAGAAAGCTCCCACCTTATCTACACTGTTTGAATACCTTTCTTATTTGAGTTGGGCAAGCATTCCTTTTCTTCTTTAACTGTGGTCCTGCTACATTTTATCCGACAGAAGAAGGAACGTCGAGCACCAGAATTCAGTCGAACTGGTCCAGCTTGAAAATCTGTGTGTACTTGTAAGCCAGCTTACAAAAGTTCAGTAAAATCGTTTAAAAAACCCAAACAAACAAAATCCAACAATAAAACTTCAGAATACAAGGCCTATTTTTCATTTCAGCTTCCAGTACATTTTCCTTACTGTTTGCCTAAATTTGTCCTTAAAATTAAAAATGAGAAAAGTTTAACTTAAATAGGGCACAGAAAATGTGACTATCACACAGATTCAAAAACTAGAAAGAATTATGACACTATTTTTAAAGCCTCTTGATATTTTGAATGGTATTTTAATAAATATGCTTTATAAACTTTCAAATTCTATTTGATACAAGGAAAAATTGCAAAGATGCTGATAAAAGTCAGCTATTAAATAGCTATTAGCTGCACAATACATAATGCTTTCCATATTAGAAATAACTGTAAACAAAATAAGATTTGGTTAAATTAGGATTGACACTTAGCATTTTCAGAGAAGACAGTGATTCTTGATATTGAAGTATTTTATCCCATGTTCGACTACATCAGGTCTTTTGTATTGACAAGACCTATCAAATACAAGAAAAAAAAGTAGTATGCCTGGTAGGAAGAGCATCAGACCACATCTTGCTAAATGCTTAACAATGAAGGTTTCAGTAATCCTTATTATCTAAAAAAATCTTTTCTGGGCTAGCTTTGAAATTGTAAATGCATTCTAAGCAGCAGATAAGCAGTCAAATATGTTTGGTTCATAGAAATTATACCTCAAGTTTGTACATCTATGTACATATAAACACATTAATATAGCTTGTATAATAACTAGATTTATTAACATGTCTTTAATAAAAAAATCTGAGCACTTTCAAATATGACTTACTTTTCCCATCTACGAGCTTCTCCCTCGGAGAGACATCTGAAGAAGAAAGCTGCTCCTTAACTTTTGCAACATCTTTTGGATGCAAGTAATCAAACAAACTTTGTCCAATTAAACTGGCCTATTTAAAACAAAACAAAAACCAAAACCACCACCCCCCAAAAAAAGAGATGTAAGAACCACATTGTTTTAGAACATGGCCTTACACATACTACTTTTCTCAGAAAAACTTTCTACACCATTATAAGTCAAACCCCCCATCAATATTTTGTTCCTCATTTAATTTGCCATTAATATTTTTAATATATCATTTTTATAAAAACAGGGTAGTAAAAGCATTTTTTTACTTCCCCTTTGAAAAACAGGAGATCTTAGCAGACATTAAAAAAGTTCTGTAAAGTCAAATGTTAAATCAAATGTTTTATTTACACACATAATATGATTTCTGTTAACCAGCAGTATGCTAGATTTGAATTGCAACTAACTTTGGATCCACACTACTTGCTATGTGATCACTGCATACATAAAAAGGGAAGTACTTTTCCAATAAGACAGAGTCAAAAATTAGTTCAATGAAAAGCACCTAAGAAAGCAGGATAAATGTACAGCCTCTTTCATTAGCCTAGTCCCCATCTAACCCAATTACAAAGGGAGAATGCTGAAAGGGGCAATGACCATAGACTAAAACTCACAAGTTTCACCTCAACATGAGGAAGAACTTCCTTATGCTGAGGGTGGCAGAGCACTGAACAGGCTGCCCAGGGGGTTGTGGAGTCTCCCTCTCTGGCAACGTTCAAAAACCTCCTGGACATGTTCCTGTGTAACCTGCTCTTGGTGGCCCTGCCTTGGCAGGGGGTTGGACTGGATGATCTCCAGAGGTCACTTCCAACCCTAATGATTCTGTACGCCACTGAAAGGGTAATAGCAGCCTTGTCAAATATACAGGGTGACATTCATTACCTACAATGACTCACAAATAAGTTAAGGAATTCATGCATTAATAAATCATATTCTCTGAACCTCTTTGGCTGGAACAGCAAAGATCTCATGGGTCTCGAAGTAGGCATGTCTGATGTTAGAAACTCAAAAAGGTATTTTGTAGTCCTTCAGTAAATTCAGTGCAGAAGTTTGATAAAAAATAAAAATGTATCTCCTTTATGCTTGTTCCCATGATTCATTTTACTTTAATTTTAAAAGATATAGCTTTGGTGGCTTGGATTTGATTTAAATAAAACATTTTTAAAAATCTATAAAACACATGTATTAGAGTCCAGATTGGTTACTCTTCTGCTTATGAAGAAAATAGAACATATCACAAAGGGTTTCAAAGTTATAGAACTAGTCAGATGGAAGCACCAACTATTCTAGCCTCTACTTTCAGAGAAGTCATAAATATATGAACAAGTTATTATGCCTTGATTATTTGTTGTTATTGTCCATGATGTTAAATGTCAACTACTGTAAGGTAATTATATTTTTCCTATTTCTCTTCTTTTACAGGCTAAGATAAATCATAAGATCTTGGTTTCCTCCAAGAGTATCTACATGGATAGTTACTGTGGATGAGGTGTTATGTAGTGCATCTGAGCATAAGGGCATTACCAAGGAAAGCTTTAACTTCCACTACTTCAATTTTCCTTGGCCTAAAAAAAAAAAAAACAAACCCAACCCAAATCACTTCACCATTTAAAAGAAAATCTCTTGGAGATATAAATGAGGGCATTTTCAAATTATCCCTTCCTTTCAAACTAGCAGTTTCCTTAAGGATGATCAATTGACATCTGGTGCTACTACTGAGGTCAAGAATATTGCAGTTGCAAGTATTTTGTTTCTGATATTCACTTACTCTGAAGGAGATTAAACCAAAGAAATTACAAGGAATTATATACATGGACTGTTTATAGCAATATATATTAAAATGTAAAAATTTAAATATTTCTAAGAAAATGCAAGGCAAAAGCAAACCAAGAAGCTTGGTTATAACCACCTGATCATAATTCAGTATTTTGCAAACTGATTCTGAGACAAACAGAATTTTTCCTCTGTTGCACCCAACCACGAATAGGAATCCATCTGCTGCCTGAAAATACAAGGATACCATATTTTAAAATATACATTTTAAAAATACAATGAATATTTATGACTAAAAGGAAACATATAGCTGATTTAATTAGCCAAATTATAAATCACACTAAAGAGCAACTAAGGTTACAAGGACCAAATCAGGCCTTCAGCTACAGACAGCTAAAGTTTCTTAAACACAGCCTTGGGAAAAGAGATGGCCAGCTGCAAAACAGATTAATTTAGGAGTCATCTTACAGATCTTGGCAAAGCCTGCTATTGCAGCAAAAGGAAAAAGAAAATAGTTGCAAATGAGAGAGTAAAGGGGTGTTGCTATAAGACAAAGTGCAAAACCAAAGATTTTCTTTAGGGTATTATTTCTGCATCTTTTCCAAGATGTAAAAATTTAAAATTAAGGAGAGCAAACAACTGAAACTATATTTATGTATAATTAAAAGCATTCTCTATACTTGTATACAGACTTCAATAGCAACATAAAAACCTGTATGTATTAAATATGCAGATTGCATACAAATTTATTATCCCTTCAGGGGTTGCTGTCTACCATGCTCACAAATCATCTTACGTACCACTTTATGAAAAAGCCTTAAGTTTATGAACTTAAGAAGTACAACAAAGCACTTGCCTGAATAAAAAGATGGGAAAACACTCTTTAGACCAAAAACTCAATGGCAAGCTTTAATAAGGACACGATTTACCTGAAAGATACCTTCCACTTACCCTAAGGATTAACTGTTGGAGCTCGTCATCCTTTAGAAATGAAGGTTTATACCGGACTTCTGTATAGGAGCTAGTGGAACCTGGTAAGTAGATTATTTGAAGATGTAATGTCAAAAATTACATTTTAAATTTACTTTAACAGAGTTATACTCGGTTTGTATTTTAGAATTTTTTTTTTGCAACCAAAACATCTTAATTAAAAAAATCCAAACTTCATAAACACACGCTAGTAATGAATACGGGTACACCATCAGTTTTTTCTTACCCTTCACTTGGCATAAACCAAGGTAACTTCTGTTCAGATATCTTTAATGCACTGCTAAAGAAAGAGTATTATGAGAACTGAATTTTCTATAAACATTTCATAGGCCTATTTCAGAATCCTTAACATTCTCTTAATCTGAATAATTCCAATGCTTTCAATTGACTTCTGGCATGCATATTGCTTCATTAGCACTATATATCCAACAATCCATAAAACACATTGTTGCAGTTAAATCAAGTGTCACTAAATGTAGTGAGACTGACTCACTACATTTACTGTTCTAGCACCAGCGGCAAAAATAACTCAAAAATAACTTTTAACCATTAAAAGCATTTCCACAACTTCTTCTATATATTTTTTGAGGTAAACAGCAGTTGAACTTTTCAGCAAATTTTAGCATTCACCATAATTTCACGTAGTATCCTGTACTTTCTTAAAGCATTTCTTTTGAAGATAAGTGTAACAACTGACCCAGATGGAGTCCAGTTTTCATGTGCTATTGTTAAAATACAAATGTTTTGAGCTGAAGATTTCTTGTAGATGATTGTTTATGCTGCAAGTGCAATTACTGCCCTGCTAATTTGTCACAACATTTCTTTACGCAAAATTCTCCTCCTGCTTGGGCCAATGGAACTCTAGAAAATCCTTCCAACCTAAATTATTCTATGATTCTGTTACTGTAAAGTTAGTAGAATAATTTGTCTCCTACACTCCTTTGACTTAAGCCTAATGGGGCTCTTATTAGATATGCTTATTCATAACCTTTTTATCTTTTTTTTGCAATGAAGACAGCCTTTGATCTTTGCTTGCAGTTGACCAAATTATTGTGCTGAAACAATGTTGCCAAAACCCTGAAATCTTGTGTGCTGCTGGTAGATTATGCAATATGCAACTTGTATGTGGATATTCCAGCACTAAACCATTAACCGAGATCAATAATTACTTTAAAGTTGCTAGCTGACTGAGATACAAATTTTTGATACCTTTTTTTCTTGGTACTCCGTTGTAGTTTAACCCTAGCTGACAACTAAGCCCCATTCAGTTGCTCACTCACTCCCCCCACCTCAGTGGAATGGGGAGGAGAATCAGAGAGAAATAAAATAAAAGGTAAAACTTGTGGGTAAAGATAAAAACAGTTTAATAACTGAAATAAAGTAAAATATAATAACAAGAGTAAGAAGAATAATAAAAGGAAATAGAAGAGAGAGAGAAATAAATCATAAGAGACAAGTGCTGCACAATACAATTGCTCACCACTCGCTGACCAATACCCAGCCCGATCCAAACAGCGATCAGTCCCTTCCAGGTAACTCCCCCGGGTTTACATACTGGGCATGACATGCTGTGGTATGGAATACCGCTTTAGCTAGTTTAGCTCAGGTGTCCTGTCTCTGCTTCCTCCCAATTTCTTGTGCCACTGAGGGGCATGAGAGCCTGAAAAGTCCTTGATCAGAGCAAGTGCTACTTAGCAACAACTAAAAACATCAGTGTGTTATCAGCATTGGTCTCAACCTACAGCCAAAACCACAGCACTGTACCAGCTCCTAGGAAGAAAATTATCCTAGCTGAAATCAGGACATAACTCTCTAATATTTCCTGGTGTTTAAGACTTCAATGGAATCAAAGTGTAATCAAAGTCATCAATATTCTATTCGAGTATTGTCTTGCAACATTCCTTTTGACTACTATTCTTGCAGGGAAAAAAAAAAAAAAGTTTGAAAGATGACTATACCCAAACAAGTTTTTCTTTAGTTTTACAGAACTGGTTTTGGCTTTATGAAGTTACGCTGTAGAAGACTTGAGTTCTCTGTGCTCTGTACTGGTGCAACTACTTCCATTAGTTTCTTTAGGTAACCATTCACACAGTTTCCCATCATCGAAGAGACTTTTTTCCTAATCTCACACTGGACAAACAACTCATCAGAAGCATTTGGTATTTTTTTAATGACTTGGCCTTCAACTTAAACCCTTCCCAAGATTCAGGTGTTTGGGGGGTTTCTTTTGTTTGTTGGTAGGCTTTTTCTTGTCAATGGTTTATAACAGGATATTCTAAACTTTGAAGTCAACAGGTAAACATGAAATTCCAATATAGAGACAAAGGGTTGATGCAATCACAAACGTGGGAATAACAGAAGAGTATGCAAACTATTTGCTTCTGTATTAGCAGGATAGCTGTTGGCATCCGTGCAACACCACAGGTATTCCTGTTGAAGAAGGCACAATGCAAGGTGGAGACATCACAAAACACACATTTATTTTGGGGGCTGAAAAATAATAAAACACAGACTTGCTTAATCATTGTAATTCTTAAAAAGAATCAAGGAGTAATTTGACTGCAAGTCATACCCCTACAGACAAAAGATATCAGACACCAAAGGGTGACTTTTTTCATGCTGTACTAAGCAAAATGAAGAAATGAAGTCCTGGAAGCCACAAACGTAAATTTAAATGAAGAACAGACTCAGAACTGAATTGAGCAAGGAAATGCAAAATAAATGACCTTTGATTTATTTAGCATCAAATAAGATACATATTAAGGCTCAAGATAGAACAAAGACTTTCAGAATTAGTTCCCTAAAACCCACCTTTTAAAGATTTTAAGTGTTGCACAGCCATCCGTAACACTGTAAGCTTGTCTAGCTTTCGTGCCACTGGATTGCACTGAGGTATCATAGCAGATAATTCCTCTATCAAATTATTCATTTTGTCTCTTCTTCGTTTCTCTGTTTGACTGTGAGCCTCTCTAAGAAGAAAAATTATTTTAAGAAAGATGTAGAACAAATTATTTTCCTGATAATCTTAATCAACTAAATTTTGGGAATGGAACATATCACAAGAAGCACTGAAACAGCTTTCATACACTACTTGTATTTGACAATTAAATTGGATTCACCTGAACAAAGCAGAAATGGTCACAATAATGTTGGGAAATATCAAGGGGGGGGGAAGTATCTCAAGCAACAACTTGATTATCTGTGGCAGGAACAAGAGGCTATGAAAGCTTACAAAATCTAAAATTCTTCCGTTGGCATAAAGAGTCATCCCTGACACCTTACTGTATACCAGAGAACTTCTGATGTCATTAGTAATCACTGGAAGACATTTCTGCTCCCGGGCCCTGTATCTACCTGGCTGTCCTGTGTAACCAGGATGGGACACGCATAGTGATACTTTTTTTTAAAGAAAGAATGCTCTCAGCACTTGCTAAAGCATCACTGAACTCTGTTCTGCAATTTCACCAGAGCTATTTCAGAAAGTTTTCCCCTGCATTCACTGGATAAGGTGGGTAGAAAGTGTTTCAGCCTCTTTGCACACCTTGTGTCTCAGGTTTCATCTCTTGGTAAGCCTCTGTCCAAGAACTCAACCATGGAAAGAGAGTGTCTCTTCCTGGACAGTTTTCATCAGAAAACCCCTTCTAAGGCACATGACAGTACACATCACAACCATATTTATACCTCAGGTCATCTTCTCTTTAATTCTTTCTGTTGGAGTATCTTAGCTTTTCTAGCTGGCCTCTTCGCCTTTAACATTCTCCAGCAGATCAAGAAAAGCTTAATTCATTCTATTCCCACCTCACCCAGAACACAAGCTAGTTACTCAATTAAAAAAGATTACTTTCCCTTCTGATTGAGACCAGGCACAGTGATAGTTAACCAAACCGAGGGACAACTGAAACTCCTCTTTTTAGGCATATTATAACAGAAGGTATTAAAGGTAATAGCATTAACTACACCTGGCCTGTTCAGAAAAAAGAAAGTACCGTTTTAAAGACCTTGCTGTCTATTATTTTTATTATTTCTCCTAAAAATAAACCCCTTCTCCACACAAATAACTCAGGTCATTATCCAAGCAATTAGCTTTTCTCTCTCCAAGGACTCTTCAAAAAATTAATTTTATCAGCCTTCTCTTTCATTCCTCAGTTACAAAGGGGAAGGAAGAAAAACAAGTTTCCCAGTAAGCTTGAGAAAAGAAACACTGGAAGAAGATAACTGTTAAGCAAATCACCAAAGAATCTTCTGTTTATTTTTTTTTCCCCTTCAACTCATGAACCAAAACTTAAAGACATGAATTAACAATACAAAATGGAAGTTATTGAAGCAATGTACAAAACAATCTTGTCTAGCAATCTGGGATACTACATAAAGAGAATTAATTTTGCAGTTAAACAAAAAACCTGTAAACATATTTTGGAACTTTTTCATTCCTTGCGTTTTATGTAAATTACAGGAACACTTCACAATTATTAGCTAGCCTTCTTCATAAATAATGCTTTTGACAGAAGACTGGATTATGTGTTTCTGCCTTGACATCTCTGTTCACATGACAAATTAAATACACTATTTTTAAAACAACTTTATAAAACAGCTCTAGTTTTATTAAGTGGCTTCTCTAGAATTTAAAGTATTTGCATGATTCGTGACTGCATTCAGTCATACAGCATTTCAAATCTTACAAGTGCTTTATGTGAATTTCAATTTGGATGCAGGTAAGATGCGAATTCAAAATGCAATGGCAAACTTTAAATAATTCCCTATTCAAAAACTTGTTCCAGAATAAGAATTCCTTGTCTTAAAAGAATGCTTTAGGTGAATCCATTTTCAAGTGGGATAAATTTTAAATGCCTCCAAGTGCAGACAAGTCTAGAAAAAAACGATTCTCAAATGCATACAGACTGAGTATCAGCTCCCCACTTTATACAGAACTTCAGTGTACTGCATTTAAACCTCACTGTGAAAACTTCAACCTCAGGTTTTTGCTAAACCATCTGACAGATTTTGCAATACATTAAAATTAGTAGGAAACAAAATCCTCAAGGAGGCTCTAAAAATTACTACACGTTGGGAGGCGGGGTGAGGAAAAGTTCACTGTTAAGCTTTTATTATGTACTTTTATTGTAAATTAGTACCTGAAATCTTTTATTTTAACATGTTCTTCATCTTCACTCCTAGACAAAACAAAATACAGTTTTATATTGCATATTTAATACTAGGCATTTTTTTCCTCACATGAAATTGAGAAAATACAGAAAATGCTACAAATTTACTATGGCTTTAACACAAGTGAACCCACAAAAATTCCTAAACCAAAAATGATCGAGCAAGTGCAGCATAAAGAAACCAAAGCGTAACTTCCAATATTCCATTCAGCTATGTGAAGATATTGTGGGGATATTTCATAATTATGGGGCTATTTTTATCATGGAGAAAAAAATTAATGTAACATTCAAATAAACTAAGTCCAGGCTTGATCTTATTTGTTTATATAAATTTAAAAAAAAAGAGTATCTGTTCATGTTTTTATTTCCAAAATCTTATTGTAAAATGATGAAAAAAGCAATCCCAGCCTACACTGGCTTTAAAATACACTTTAATTGCTTATGGTCAGAAAGCGTAAAAATTAAGTATTTTCATATACTGTACCAGCAATGACTGGAAAGTCTGTAATAAAACTGTAAGTGAAAGACAATTATAGTGCTTATATCATGAAAAACACTTGGCAACAGGAAAATATAAAGGATGATTCAAACAAAGAAAATAATATTTCTGCTTTCCCAAAGTCACTGTATTATTCACCACCATCTATTAAGAATTTCAGAACATGGCCTAAGTTACCTTCCCAATTCAGTATGTATGATTTGGCACTTGCAGGGAGGCAGTTTCCATACAAATACTGGGCATTCTTTCTTTGAAAGACAAACTGATACAAGTATTTTTATTCTTTCTACAGCAGTTCTTCAGCTATTTTTAATTCAGCAGTGGAAACACTTCATACAGTACTCAACTCCATTCTAGAGGAGAGACCTGCTAACCTATGTCCATTTTGGAAGACACATTTGTTGTACCAGCAGGATTATAAGGAGACAGGCCAATCAGCAGCTGTTTCCTATGAGAAATGGAAGTAGGAAGTAGGACAGTTGGAGATTACAACTTTAGGAAAGACCCCAAAAGCTGCTTCCACCTGTAGCTAAGCACTGACACCAGTGAGGATCCGGCAGCCAGTGCCAAATTAACACTGACTCTAGCCCATCACCCTGAGATTTCACTGAACCCAGGAATCTTCTGGACAGTCTGATAAACCCAAATATGGAACTAGGTTGGACTCAGAAGAGACTAGGATCTCTCTTCAGTGAAACTGTCAGTAATAACTAATTTTTTCTTTCATTTTAAAATAAATTTTTACCAGAAATGTGCATGTATTATGAATTCAAACAGAAGTTATATTGTCTGACCATAAGAAAAGGGGTAAGGGGAAGCCAGACTAACTGCAGTGCAGCATGTGGCCTATTAACTACATCTCCCTTCTCCCACGGGAGCTCCACTTGGAAAAGAAAGTAGAGCAAATCTGCTACTTCACCTTGCACACTGTGTGCAGCTCTGGGCCCCATAATTTAAGAAGCATGTGAAAGTCCTTGAATGAGTCCAGAGGAGGATAACAAAGCTGGAGAAAGGACTGTAAGGAATGTTTTATAAGGAGCAGCAAAGGACGCCAGGTTTGTCTAATTTTGAGAAAAGGAGGCTCAGAGGTGACCTCATTGCTCTCTACAGCTTCCTGAGGAGGGGATGTGGAGAGGGAGGTGCTGAGCTCTTCTTCCTGTATCCAGTGATAGGAATGTGGGAATGGTTCAAAGATATGCCAGAGGAGGTTTAGACTGGACATTAAGAATCATGCCTTTACCTATGGTGGTCAAACACTGGAACAGGCTTCTGAGAGAGCTGATTGATGCCACAAGCCTGCTGGTGTTTAAGAAGCATTTGGCAATGCCTTTAACAACATACTTTATCTTCTGATCAGCCCTGAAGTGGTCAGGCAGTTGGACTATACAATTGCTGTATGTCCCTTTCCAACTGAAATATTTTATTCTATTTCATAAAAAAGAATACTGTGCAATTACATATAAACCAATACATTTTCTAAGTAAGGTATCCAGGTACAGAAAAAGAAATCACAACAAAGCAATCATGTAATTAATAACTATCCTATAACATATATACACAAAGAGTTTACTTATGCTGCACCACCAATCTTAACTCTGGTTTGTCACCTTGTAACATCATAGCACTATTTAACACAGCTGTGGTAGTTCTATTTTAAAAAGCATGTGACAAGGTTAAAACAAAAAAAGTGTTTACATACACCAATCCTAGAGGAGTACAAGACCTTTCCTCCACCTCCCTAGTCTTCTTATTTAGGTGCTGCTTTTCATTCATTCCCATTGAGGTAAGGTAAGCCTTAACTTGAATGCTAACAAGTCTGGTAAAGTTATAAGCAAGTCAGAGTGTCTGCTTAGAAAAAAATATTAGAAAACCTTAACATTGCATGGACCTATGCATCCTGTTAATTAGCTGTATGTTTATCACCTTGTGCTGTATGAAGACCTGCTCTTAAACAAAACATTCCTTAATATAATAATTCCACATGGCTCATCTAGCCAAACAGGACATGTTTTTCACACTAAACCCAGAAATGTAATAATTTATAAAACATACCTTTTCTGAAGATCACCATCAACTTCAACTGTATCTCTGCAGAAACAGGTAATTATGTTAAGCAAAACACAGTTTTAAGCACAAAAACAAGACTTGATGTACCCAATGAAAAAAGTCACATAAAAATTTTAGTGGATTCCACTCGATCAGTTATTTTCAGCAAGAACATTAGTTTTTAGAAACTAATCGCTAGTTGTGATAAAAGAATGCTTTTTCGATTAGTATTTAAACTTGAACTTGTTATAACAGAAGTTTCATTAAATCAGAAAGATATCCAAACTTCAAGGAAACATTATTGATGAGCCAGCACTTTTACCAAACAGGTAAATAAAACCCAAGAATGGCGGCAGGTTTTTTTTTTTCTGAAACTAATGTATTTCTGGAGTTTTCAGGGATCTACGAGATACATTTGAATCTCCAAATCAACAACTGATACATATCAACATCCACAGTATGGCTACATTTTGTAGATCAATGGACTGTATATAAAAGAAGCAGTGATTAAAAAGACTTGCTTTAAAAATCACAAATACATGTAGATTTCCTACTTTTCCCCTTTTTAAATGTAGATTTTATGCACAAGTTTGGAGATACTTGTAGTGTATTAGATCTACAGACTGACTTGTGTCCCTTACTTCTAGCTGATTATCACAGTTTTGATTGGATCACTTTTAAAAGTTATTTTTCTGCGTAAATGCTTATTTGGTTAACTGTCATCTATTTTGCAGTTAAAACAGGAGAAAGCAGCCAAAAGTATCATCTCACTAGTCAAGTATGACCCACTTAAAAAAAGACTGAGCACTACTGTAAGACAGCTCTCCTTTTTAGGTCACGGGTCTGTTTGCGCATTTAAGTAAAATGCTGCCCTGGTCACTGAAGAAACAGCTCTGATTCTTGGGTTCTAGATCAAAGAGCTTAACTAGTAATTCTGTTTCACACTTTAAGGTAATATTCTAGTATGAGACTTCAGCAACTTAGTAACAATGTGCTGCAAAGAGAACTTGCCTTTACTAGCAGGAAAACAAGGGGGGGGGGGGGGAAGGAAAGAAAAAAATAGTTGGGATTGAAATTTCAGGATTGGAGACACACTACCCGGACACTTCAAGCCAGGAAACTGCATTATAGAATCTTACATGTATCCCCTTAGATTTAGGGATTATTTTTGCTATTTTTAATAAATCAGGATAGTCAGAGAATGTGCTTGGAAGAAATTGCAATAAATAATGGTAATAAACAAAGGAAAGAGGATTCAACATGGTGCATAAGTAACAGATGAATGTCTCAAGTTTTTGTTAAGACACATGTAGAATCAATTTACTTACTGGTTATCAGAATCACTTCCTTTGCGCTTCCTTGGAATCTCAGCCACAGAAGCATTGAAAGAAGTGGTGGTAGCAGGCTTAGTTACTGGATTCATGAGGCTGGGGACTCCAGAAGCAATGCACAAGTTTCCATCAATTGAGAAATTATCTGTGAATGAGAAAAAAAAAAAAAAAAAAGCTTAATGTCCAGCTCGAGCTGTATTACCATGTACGCATGGATTTTCATTTGGGGGGGAGGGGGGAAACAACAAACAAAAAAACAGTCCATGAGTGGCTTCTATGCCTCTGACAAAAAAAAAACAACACAAAACAACATAAAGGTTGCACTGGTATCACCCAAGTACAGAAAAAAGTACATTGTCTTTCCACAGTCCTGTAATGATCTCATCAACCTAATCAACACACCAATGCAATATAAAATACACCTATTCTCCTCCTCATGTCATCTTGGCAGACTACACTTAAAATTCCCCAGTACCTCAAACATCCTGCTGCAAAATCACAAGATGTGGCATTAGCAGATCAAAATACTGCAATTAAAAGTAAATTACATTTAGAGAGTGAACTGTGGTTTTCAAACAAGCTGGATATCTGAAAAATGAAAGTTCGCCATAACGATGTTTCTGACAAAATTGTAATTACACACAGTATCAGTCAAGTAAGTAAGAAGAGTCTTGAAAGCTTGACAAGTTCTACCTCAAAGTTCCCTTCACAATTCTCTTCCCAAGGAGAACAATTTTGTTTCTGGGAGGGACAGAAGTCACAAGCAAAAGTAATACTAGTGACCTACTGAGAAAGAAGAGTCTCAAGAAACCTAAGCGCTGTTACACTTTTTCCCTACACCACGGCAAAGCTATCACAAAGAATCACGCAGTTGATGTCTAGGTAAAGATCGGAATTAACTGTATTCCAGCAAATGCAGGCACTCCTTTAGGCTTCATGTGCTAGTGAGGCAAGAATCCTACGTCATAAATCTAAACACCATAAAGCATTAACTCCATGAAGGGACAGATGAGGGATTGAGAATGGTTATTTAAGGATGTGAACATCTCCTAGCTTTAGCAGAAGGCAAAACCCAAGATGAGTGCTTTGAAAATCTAGCAGGAAGAAAATCTGGATTTTTTTATTGTGAGGTTTTTCTCTTTTTTTTTTTAAAGCATTTGTGATGTCTGTAAATGATAGGTAAATACACACAAACAAAGTGATACACAGTGTATGGTTTTTTCCTCTTAGGTGTAAGCACATCTTATGCTGGAAATATTTTCTAGGTTCTCATTTTCAGTTGGAATATGACTCTGGAGAGTTACATGAAAATAGGCTAATACTTGAACAGCTTGCCTGGTCTTCCACTAATCCTCTCTCTACCAAGCCAGACTATACAGAGTTAGCCCCTGTTTTATTTTAGAAAGCTCTTTAACTCATTAAGTCACGCAGGAAGTTTCATAAAGAGAGGTGGAACCTCAAAGAATCAATAAATACTTGATAAGTAACAGCCTTTGGTCATCTGCAACAAAAAGAAAGTTTGGTTACTTCAAATACACAACATATTCAAGTCAGTGATACTACAAATATATTACATCACAAATACTACAAGGGCACAAATGGCAGATGCTTGAAATATTTTTATGGTTAATCAGCACTTCGTAGTAGTATCAATTTATATTTATACTGTAAATCCATGCAATTACAAAACAAACAACACCCTACCCCCTAAAAACCAGAAAAAAAATCCTAAAGGAACTGTGTATTTATAAAGAGTAGTTTTAATTCACTTAGCTCATAGTAGCCTATAATTACTAGATTAAGTTATCAAAGTATAATCATACTTCATGAATATTCGTGAAGGAGTACTTACTGAACAGAAACCTAGATATATCAAAGACAAGAATGCCCTCAGCACAACAGATCCTTCAGTCCTGGAACAAAGCAGGACAGAACAGACCCACTGACCTAAATACTCCTTTGCACACAGATGGCCAGCCTGCTTTCTAAACCACTTCCCTTTAAAGACACAACATGAAAGGCACCATTTAGAGCTTTTCCAACTTAGCCTTCATATTATCAAAATACTTAACTGTTTTTTGACTCACACCCAAGCAACAAATTCTGAATACTGCACTTCTCCACATTTCCTAATAATTCTCTTTAACTAAAACACAAAAACGTTTGGATTAGCAGCAATGGTGATCTGTTATGAACTTCTGCGCTAAAACGTTTACGTGATAAATTGAATCCTGTCACCGTGACAAACTAGATGCCATGTTAAATGCCATATAACTAAATGCTGGTAAGATAGCTGGTTGTTCTTAGACAAAATATAAGGTTAACAATTTGTATTGATCCCTGACATGTACAGCAGGTAGCATATAGACTTTATATACATTCTTTCATATTCTCAATATAAACCCCAAACAAGCAGAGAAATAAATTTAAAGCTTCAGAACTATCAAACATAGTAGAAGAGTATTTATTTGGAATTTAACAAACAAAAATAAATCTTTTTAATACCTACTCCTCATTGAACAAGAACCAGACAGACAAAGTGCATAAAGCTAAGTCAGCTTCAAGAAGTCAGTAAGAGCTCTTTAAAATAATATCTTAGGGCTTTATAATAGGTATCATTATGGTACTAGGTGATTTCAAGGTGCTTCCCCTCTCCCTGTAGAATGTCTTAACCTTGTGCAGTCTATAATGAAAGATTTATTTACTTCTCTGGCTATACCATTTTGGGAGAGCTGGATAAAGGATTTAAAAATCTTCGGGTTTGCAAAGAGAATGGGCTTGGATGCACCCCAATAACCATGGTGTGCCCCTACAATGGAAAAACGATGGATTCTTACCTTTCATTTGCGCTCCTGGCTGACTTAGCATCAATTTCTGTCAACATTTTCATGCCATCAACATCAAATCCAAATACCCCTAAGAACATACGAAGCAAAACTAAATGTTTTCTAATTTCATAGCAGTCTTGCTTCTTGAAAAATATCACCCAGGAAGACTATTCATTATTACAAGTTTATTTTCCTGTAAAACCAAAATCAGTAAATTTTTAAACAATCAGAAATAGTTTAATTCAATTAGAGGTATTTTGTTTTACCACTCCAAAGGCTATTAGCTACACTAGTCTGGTTTGCAAATCAAATAAAATTCCAACTGAGAAATTACAATAAAAAACCCCAAAATGTTTCTTTCAAAGTTCTGCTAATGCCCTAGCACTAAATTGCAATTATTTGAATTGTAATAGTAATATTTGAATTATAATGGTAAGTGAATAGTTCTTCAAATACATATGTCTATTTATGATGTTTGGCTCTCAGTACAAAGCATATATGCTTATCTATATTAAAAATTAAAAATTTAAAAGCATAATATGCACATCAGGACAGATGTCTGAAAATAACCGAAGACCAACCAAACATTATAAATGCACCATATGAAAAACAGCTCATCTCCAGTAAGTGTACAGGAAACAAAACCCTAGTATTTAAACACTTAACTTTATTGTATTTCATAATCAGGCAAACAAAGTATTTAAGGAATGGTTATCAACACACACAGTTATCAAGACGATATACATATACAAGACCATACCAAACACCCCCCTTGTGTTTTTCTACCAGAAAAACACAACAAAAAGCCCACAGTCCCCAAAGGTGTTGGGGAGGAAGTGAACAGCTGCAAATAAGCTGCAGGAAACTACTGTTCAGATGTGGGATATGAAGTAAAGACATACAAAATCAACTGTATTCCTAAGTTCAGCGTAAGTCACATGCAATGCATTAAGAAACAAGGTTTGGGAGACTCTACGTTTTTCCAATTAATGACAATAATATTTTCTAAATGCATGCCACATTCCTGAGCTGTTTCCTCCACTAACAGCTTTAAGGTTTTCAGTTCCTAAACAAACACGATCTATTAGAAAAGGCTTATGGCCAAACTCCACCAGCCATAAAAGGTGAGATTCATCTGAACAAATAAAGATGTCCACATCTGAAAGAGGCATTCTAGTCCCTCTTGGAGGGAAGAACATATTTCTAGGGTGATTCATCTCTACCTAAAATAGATTCCTACAGTTGGCTAGATGAAATACAACATTTCTAGGGTGATTCATCTCAATCTAAAATAGATGCCTACAGTTGGTTAGATGAAATGGCAGTCCAAGAGTGCTCAGTAATTATACAAAGACCAAAGTAACTAGCTCAAACTTGGATTTCTACTCTGCGGACATCTAAAGATAAATGAGATAAATTCCACTGAATGTGGCTATTGAACTATCATGCGATTCCTAAAATATACCAGCCACAGACAGCACCTGTTTGTGTCACGTGTAACCAGTTTAAGCCCAAGACAGTATTTAAAATGATTGCCTAAATTATGCTGTACAACGTCATGACCCACTCACCCCACTATGAAAGGTTAACTTTTCTGGCTAGTTTACTCCTCATGAGCTTTCCTAAAATACTACTTTAGATTTTTTAGACTTATCAAAAGGAAATCATAAAAGATATGCACTCAAAAAATCAGCAGAAAAATACAAGCCATGTAAATATTAATGAATTTAATAAAACGGCTGTCAGTCAGCCCCATTTAGCCAGTTTATAAAAAGAACATCTAAATCCATCTATCAGGATCTTACAGTAAAGTATGCTTGAAATAAAACGTCAATGAATAAGTGCATTTACAAAACTTATGGGTGGCGCTCTTCACAGCCTGTGAAAAATGTACACACCAGACTTGGAGAAATGTTGCAGCTCTGCAGCTGCTTAAGTTAACAATGTGGTAACACTGGCACAACCTTTCTAAGAATAAGAAGGCACTTTCAATCCAGCTTCCTATTTTGAAACACTTTCTGGCAGAAGGGAAGTAGAAGAAAGAAGCTTCTTTGAACTGAAATTTTTAAGACCACAGATGCCACAGACACCACAGACTATTACATGTGCATTTTCTAAATGTGTATTCCTGGCATGCACAAAAAACTTGAGTTACAAATTCAAGCTTTGAGAAGTTTAAAGAAGTCAAAACTATGTTAGAAGTCACTGTAGTTAAAGCAGCACATACGGGCTCTTTAGTGTCACTAGGTGAGTTACTAAAATGGCAATCTACTCACCCAAGCTCATTGGCTATGTCTACAGTAGTAAATACAACAGCATAACAGCAACAGGTCAGTAGAAAGAATCAGCTGGTTCACAAGCCCGTTTCTAATTTGTAAGTAGTTCAGGGAGCTTACACTAAATCACATTTAGTCTGGTTCACTGGGCCAAAAATCCTTACAATGCATGTATTTGAAAGCTGTCTGAGAACAAACCACTGGTTCAGTCCCTTATGTCTGGAGTTGGAGTATGTTTGGTATGTGCCTGGAGTGGCCCTAACCTTGCTACAAAATGATTCTAGTTTAGTTTCTTCTGAAAGGGGTCCAGTTTGTTTATACCAAAATTGCTGTTCAAACCAAACCCATGAGCAGGAACTGGGGAGGATGGGATTCAGTTCAAACCAGTGCTATTGCTCTGAACCAAAATGCTGATGTGCACACAGCCTCTGAGTACTTACTTGATTTCAGCGTCTCAGTCTAAAATCCTTGGGAGCATACAGTCATACAAAGAAGCAGATATATATGTATATGCACTCATATCTAGGCAAAGAAGCAACCTACATTTTCTAAACTAAGGTACTACTCGAGATGCCAAGCTGGATTCTTACGTTTTGTCAAATTGACATGTGGGGGTTTTTAAGGCATAAGATGTCTCTGATTACCTAAGCAGTTACAGTTATGTATCTATAGGTTCAGCACAGACAGATGATAGCTAGCAAGTCAAATAGTTTCAAATAATTGTATGTAATTACAATAAATTGCTTTATTTTAATATGGAGGGTTTGGTGGTTTTTTTCTAAAATTACTTTAATGAATTCTTACTGCAGATTTTCATCAGAGAATAGGAAAACTATACTTATATGCTACATACATACAGGACCATATGAGGAAGGAAGTTACAGGTGCTGTGATATGCATCAGGTCCTGCAGATCTGAGCACCTATAAAACAAAGAACCATATTTTCTAAACAGGGATGAGAGTTGTATTAAACAGATAGATTGATTTTAGAGCTTTAGGCCACGAAAAGCATCTTCAGACTACCACAGTATCTCTTATTGAAAGTACGGGCAACAATTTTCATTGGAGTTCTGAAAACAGTAGGAATGTACCGCCTAAAACAGTTGGGGTCCCCCCCCCCCATTTTATAAGCATGCGTAATGCAGGAGCAAGATACGGAAATTTCAGTAATGAAGCCATCTTATCATTCTATACAGAGAATAAACTCTTCCAGGTTAATTTAAGAACAATGGATTTGTTTTTAATATCACAAAATGATGAAAGGGAAAATTAAAATATCCCAAATTATAGACATTTATATCAAACATTAACATGGGCAACTTTCCACATCTATTTTTACCACTCAGAAGAGTAGTCAAGAATCACAAACAATTAAACACCTACCAATTAAACAACACATTTACTTAATAGATTTCAAACACCAACTATTTGGCCAAACCTATTAGTGTATTAAAAAGATGAGTGTAACCAGCTAATGAAAAGATCTTACACAAGCCCTTGAAAGACTACCCTGCTTTCCCAGTCACTTTCAGGCTCAAACCAGGTCACTGACAGAAATCAAGAGTCTCATATATCCTAGCTCATTACAGTAAAAAAAACCCAACCACCCCACCTCTCTTTAATTATACACAGATAAAGGAACAGAGGGTAGCTGTTTTCTTACAACTTTTTGATTCATATTATTGTAAAATGCTTATTCTCATCAAGTCAGCTGCAGAATTTCCATGGGTTTAGCTGGCTCTGGAGTTCAGAACAACAATCCACTTCCCACAATCACCCACCAGATTATTTCTTCTTACAATGAATTTGATTCTTTCTTGATGTGAACTGTCCAGTTTACAGTTTGCTTTTTATAATGCGCAAATATATCAACAATAATGTGTACACTCAAGTGAAAAAACCCTGTTTAATCAGCTAACCCTAGTGTGCACCTATTCCACAAAAATTAAGATACTTTTATCTTAAAACAAAACCAGAAAAAAAAACCAAACCCAAAGCCGTCTCTTCAAAATCTGTTAGAACAGGTATAAGCATAGGTAACAAAAGAAACCAGGGAGGAGGGTTTCTTTCACAATCAAACATAAAAGCCTATGGTTTGTTGCTTTCCCAAACAAATTTGTAAATAGAAATGTCTGCATATTTGGAGTTTTCTTTATTTTGCTTATTTCCTTTCCTCACAATACGTGCATGATATAGAAACAATAAAGCCTTATTCTAAGCACAATTTAACAGACTGCAAAAAATCTATCGAAACCCCCACTTTGTTTTCAAACACTAAATTACTTGCTACAAAATCATACCAGTTATTTACACAATCAAGCAGCAGAGGCAGAATAATGCCAATCATTCCAAATCACCAGGATACCCATATACATTAAAACACATATAACCCAACAGACGTTTAGGAAACAACTATTAAAAACCTGTAAGAACTCGTGCTAATGAACAGAACAGCAATGATGACTTGGGAGAGGTTTGCTCACTTGTTTCTCAAAACGCCGTGCGAAACACTTATTTCTCCTAGGGGAAGCAACATACTCGTTTCAAAGCAGGAGGAGCACAAACAGCTGTCGGTGGTTTACAACTAGCCTTGCTTTAGTAGCAGAAACTTATTATTAAGAACAAGGAACAAACATCAAACCCTGGTCACCATACAAGCGTGGGCATGCACACAGAGAGTCAAAATAATGATACCTAAATTACTACATTATGTTACCTAGCGTATTAGGAACACATAAAACAGGCAAATACATATCAGAAACAGTAAACTACACACCAAGTTACAAAAGCCATGACATTTTTAGTCCACGCCACACAGTATGGTGACACATCTATAACAAACAGAAGCACAGAGTGAACATTATACTCGGGAATTCTCTGTGAGTGCACAACATAACGCCTGGTAACATCCACCCTTGGTACCTTTACTGAACTTCACCAGGAGAAAGGAGTTTGCAGCGTTCCGGTTATACTTTGAGCCAGCCGGCGTGCAGGCAACAGCATGAATTAAAACAGAAACCACCACAAACCCTCACCACCACAGAGCGATACTGGGAACCTGACTAGACCGACGTGCCCCCACAGCAGAGCTCTAGCCCCCTGCCCTGCACCCCGGGCACCCACAACCACGGAGGGCTCGCTTGTGCCACATCACGAAGGCAGAGAGACAGGCAGGCACACCCCACCCCACCGCATACCGTACGCGCCCACGGCCGCCCCACACACAGCGAAACAGCCGCTACAGCGGGGCAGAGGCCACACAGTGACCGCCGCCACCCCTCCACCCCACCTTCAGGGCCCCGCCGCTCCTCCTCGGCCCCCTCGGCGCTTCCCACTCCTGCCTCGGCCATGGCGGGCGGCCCGTGCCACCGCTCCACAGCGCCCCCGGCCCCGGTGGCATGCAGGAGGTGAGCTGAGGTGAGCAGCAGCAGCCGGTCCCGCCGGCCCGGGGGAGGGCTCACCGGCGCCCCGCCAGCCTTCCCCCGCCTTGGCACCGCCTCAGCAGCGCCGCCATCTTCTCGCGACATTTCGTGCCTTCCCGCGGAGCTGGGCCGCGAGTGGGCGGCATTCTCCCGTTCCTGGAGGAGCGGGGCTGGGAGAGAGGCGGGGTGAGGGTTGGGGTCCGAGGGGGTTACTTGTGGCAGTCGGACAGGCCACAGCACACTAGCCGTGTTGAATGTATGGTGGAGGTAGCCCTGCTCCCTCCTGGTATATTGCAGAGCCAGGGTAGGCGTGGGCCACTTTGGCCTTTGCTGTCTGGGAAAAACCTCACAGCAGCCTTCCAGTACATGGAGAGGGACTTCTAAAAGCAAGTAGTGATAGAACAAGGAGGAATGTCTTTACACTAGAAGAGACTGGATTTAGACTAGATCTGAGGAAGAAGCTCTGCACTATGAGGGTGGTGAGGCACTTGAACAGGCTGCCCAGAAAAGCCATAGCTTACCTCATCCCTGGCAGTGTTCAAGGCCAGATTGGATGTGGCTTTGGGCAACCTGGTCTAGTGGAAGGTGTCCCTGCCCATGGCAGAGGGGTTGGAATGGATGAGCTTTAAGGTCCCTTCCAACCCAAACCATTCTGTGATTCCACGAAAATACCGAAATTGCTTTGTACCTGTGTACCTGATAGTTTTCAGGGTACTGTATGGAGGACACCTTGTCTGAGGAAGAACTGGGATCATGGAATAATTTTGATTATGAAAGGCCTCTGTGGGTCACCTGGTCCAGTGTGTGGTCAGAGCAGGACAGAGAAGTCACACCTATCAGTAAAGAACCCCACAAAAATAGGGTTAACTTGTAGTAGTATATTAAATTGTGTTAGTAGACTTGGATTACACTAGATGCACAGGCTGTAGCTATATTTTTTGCTAATACCAGGAGTACACTTTCAAAGTGAATCTGCCTATTACCCTCACTGCACTTGGGTTCCCAGCTTGGAATAGTCTTGGTGTGTGCGAAGTCTATCATTTTGAGCAAAGACCTGAAGAAGCGCTTTCAAGAGCATAACATGCTCCAGCTCTGAATGGACATTCACTCCAGCAGACACCCTTAGAGCTAGTCTCAGATGAAACCTCTATAACACAGTGTGGGCATCAGGACCTCAGCAATGCCTGTTCCGTTTGACAGAACCTGTCTTACTGTCCTGCCCTGCTTGTTAATGTTTAATACACACTGTGCTTGCTCAGTTCCAGTCGTAGGTGTGGTAGAACAGGCTATCGCCTGGACCCACACATCCCTGTCCGCGCCATCTTCATGGGTGCACATGTGCCCACTTCCAGCTGGTGAACTCAGGTATGAGTGATTTTTACATGTACAGTGCAGCTGGTATGACCATTAAGCCTGGACCTAGATAATTGGCGATGTGTGTAAAGGAAGATACTTCTGCAGGTGTACTGTTCAGTGAGCTTTCAGAGCATCTGTTATTAGTAGTCCTTTGGAAATGACAAAGGCAGGTGTAAGTATTTTAACATTCTTTAATAGTGAAGGTGTTAAAATTTACGTGAGCTGCTGACATATGCAGCCCTGAACTCAATTTGTGCCATCTTTTACACTCTGTGAAGCTCCCAACACAGTTTACACTTGATTGGAAGCACCCTGTCCATGTGGAAGTGGGCAGCTCAACATCTTGCCCATGGTTATGCCCAAGGATTACACATGGCATGTGGAAGTGCCGAATGGGTAAGCAGCTCTAATAGAATATGCTTACCTGGGCAGGGAATTGTGGGTTCCAGCTGGGGATGTTGCTGAACAAATGTACTGTGACAGTCTCAATGCCCATTTTTTTTCGTAAGGTGCTTTGCAAGGTGCCCTTGCAAACTCAGCATTTCATCTCAGAATTTTAGCTTCTATGTGATCACACAGTTACTATTGCAGTGATACATATATTTCACTAGGCTGGGTTCAGCTGGCCTTACAGAATTTGTATTGGAGAAAAGCAATTGCAAACCACTTCTGCCTTAAGTGAAATAAAAAGCAGTAGGATGAGCTAAAAACCAGGAGCTAGGGTTGCTGTCTTGGAGAAAATCATTATAATTAATGCACATTTGGTTTATTCATGTACTACAACTAATACTGGAAAATATTTCCAACAGTTTGTTCCTAGGAGTCTTAAACATCATATCTGGCCCTGCCAAAATACTCTTTTTGCCCCAGTTTTAAAGCTAGGAGTTCCCTCCTCCAGCTTTGCATCACCAGTGGACACCCAAATGTGATGGAGATTTCAGAAGAGTGAGTCAGCCCCATTGACTAAAACATGTTTGAGAGACTCAGTAACCACAGAAAGTTGAAGATGGACTTTGTTGCAAAGCTCAATGAGATAAAGAGTTAAATAGTGTCAGAAAACTGCTCGAACAAAATAGCTTAACAGCTATTAAATACAAAAGCCCTCCGTATGAGGACATTCAATGAGGACATTTAAAATGCCTCTTCTTTTTCTTTTTTAACTGACTTACTAGAAACAGAGCTAATGTACCTTATCCATATTTTATTGATTATTTTTTAGTGCAGCAATAGAAGTACTTGTAATTCAATGCCAAATTTTTTGGCACTTTATGGTATGTCTAGGTCAGAAAATCAGAGCAATCTCTTAGCAGTATTTCTGCCTGTCATGTTGCTTCTGTGCATTTCTCATGTGATCTTATGGTCAGTGTCACACCTCCTTGGCACTTAGGGAGATTTTGTAAACATAATGTGCTCCAAATCATTAACAGAGATTCTAGACATCATTTACTAGTTTCTTATTTAAAGGTGATGACTGGTCTCTATGGAACATCTCATACATCTTGTATATGACAGTAATTGGTCTTTATAACACATAGTTAGCCTTGAGTCTTGGCAGAGTAGGATCCCAGATTATGTAAGCCACTGATTTTGAGTAGGCCACACTTTATATTTTTGCCCCATTTTTAGGTGAGTACTTTATCTATAAAATACAGAATAGAATGCTTTATGTAAGCCTCTTTTTTTTTTCCAAACAACTTATACAACAACTTGCTAAAGGGGTAAAAATAACAATCAAACCTCAGAACAATTAAATAATAGCCTGAGACTATTAGTTAGTTATTAGTCAGTTAAAGAAAGGTCTCTGTATTATTACTCCTTTTTCTTTTCAGTAAGTGATTAATGACATCCAAAGCATAGCATGTCTTAGCTGTTAACACAGGACAATGAAGAGTGTGCAGTCAGCATTTCCCTGAGATACCATCTTGAAGAGGATGCAGATTGCTTTTTGTATTTGCTAGGGCCAGGCTAGCTCCATGCATGCCACACTTCAGAGACCTATTTCATAAGCTGAAAGTGACTGAACAAAAGCAATCTCCTCCTCTGAGGGAGCAACTGAGAGTCACTCTTTGTAATTAGAGTGACCAGCATTGCTTCACTTTAAAAACAAACTTGGGTGACTGCTTAGCATGAGCTAACCAACTTTTTTCTATTGAAACTTTGTAGCAGTAAACCAAAGTTACTCAGCATACCTGTAAATAAAACCACAGATATTTCACAGACTTCTGTTCCAGAACACAAGTGTTTGTAGTTTCCCTCCAACCATGGTATTACATGGCTCAATGTAAAGAACAATGCCTATGCCTTGAAATCAAGTGTGTTTTTAAACAGGACATCTGAACCAGACAGCTAGTTAGAAGAATGAATACAGTAACACACACACACCCCATTATCAATTTACTTTGAGGATTCGTAACCAAGTTAAAATAAGTCAAAAAGATTAGCATTTTCCAAAGTGCCTACTTTATTTTGGAGTCCTGGCTGGTGAGGTTTGTCCCCACAAAGTAATTTACTTGCTTGTAAATTTCTTGCCTAAAAGTCTCTCAATTTGATGGTGCCACTTTTGACTTAAAACCAAAATAGTACTCAGTTTTTAAATAGCCTTTTCATTCCTGGCTGGAACTGATATTTTCTGAATGTATGACAAGAGCCTAACGTCTGATGTGTCTGAAAAACAGTATTGCTGTGACAGAGCTCTACACAAGGATAAATATAGCTACTTAAGGCTACTGTTGAAATTAAACGCAATAGAATTGTGCCCATAGTGTACAAATGATCACCTCTAAGCTGAGTCCTACCTCTCTAGGCTCAGCAAGATCCCACTCAGTGCCTTTTCTGCTGTGACTAAAGAACAAAACCAGCTGTGAGGGCAGGGCATCTCCAAGGACAACATCTTCTCTTTGGTTCGCATGCAACTGATCTGTGAACCTCCAAGCTATAGCTGTCTCACCCACCTTGCCTGCTAAGGTCCTGACAGTGCCTTACATGACTGTCTGAAAGCCTTCTCCTTGGTTAAAGCAGACTTGTCAGATTTTCAAGTGTTGACAGCCTCGCGTTAAACAGCTGGTATAGGAGCAATGTGAAGATACAGACGTGTAAACCACGTGCAGTCAGTTTGTGCCACTGAGTTGAGGCAGACTTAACTGGAGAGGTAAACCGAACAACCGTGGCACAGAGCAGGCCTATAAGTATGTCTAATGTCACTCAGCAGAATTGTGCTCATTGAATGCACCACATTCATAGTTCACTACCTGAGAATTTCATAAATCAAGAAGTCACACTGATCCCCCTGCTTCCTAGAATGTGCAAAATCCATACCGGGGCCCAGTTATGTACTACGCTCTTTCAGAAAAAGGCATTAAAATAAGTTACACACTTTGCAAAGTTTCCTTGAGGCATTAGTTTCATTTTGTTTATGAAAAAAAAAATAGGTAATATTTTCTTCTTTAATAGCAGAGGTACCATGCAAGTTTGTCGCCATTGTAATGTGAAGCTGCAAGACACCCTCTTCACGTACTGCCTTTCAACTGACTGAATTGCATAGGTAGTAAAATCTCCTTGTCTTATTTGTAAAGGATACAGAAGCAGCATCAGCAAACAGCTTGCTTTTGAGACCATCCTTATTCATTGGTTTCTTTGGACTTTAGATAGGGATGTTTGGCTGACATTAGTGGGAGCTGGACAAGACCTTGAAGGCAGCCTGCTGGATTAAAAATCTTGAGATGCATGTCTGGTTTAACAATGATTTGCTCTGTCATGATCAAAAAGTGACTCAAGTTCTTATCTGACTCTTCATTATTATTGAATAGATACATTGAAGTCAGAAGCAGACTTTGTAGAGAAATAAAAGTGTCCAAGAGCAGGACAGCTGTTGCAGTTTTTGAAGAAGTCCTGATGCTAAAGAGACATATCTTCACATCAGTGCTCCCATTTCAAGTCTCAAAGTTTTGTGGATGGCCCCATGTGCACAGGCATGGCCAGGGGGATTGTCTTGGCACCTGCTTCCTGTTGGAGCTCCATTATCTTCATATTGGATTTAGATTAGACATTAGGAAGATTTAGGTAATTGATTAGAATTTAGGAGGAAGTTCTTCCCTGTGAGGGTGGTGAGAATTTTAAGTAATCTATTAGAATTTAGGAGGAAGTTCTTCCCTGTGAGGGTGGTGAGGAGCTGGCCCAGAGTGCCTAGAGAAGCTGTGGCTGCCCCATCCCTGTCAGTATTCAAGGCCAGGTTGGATGGTGCTTGGAGCAACCTGCTCTAGTGGAAGGTGTCCTTGCCCATGGGGGGTTGGAACTAGATGAGCTTTAAGGTCCCTTCCAACCCGATACCTTCTGTGATTCTGCGATTCCAGCATGAACATCCACACGGACAGGCAGATTCTGCATATGTCCCTGGAAGGAAACAAGGCATTACACAATCTTGGTGCGTATGTAACATTTGCTATCTGTACCTGCCATCTCTGATTCAAAACATGGAGCAGGGACTGTGGTTATGCTTTTACACAACAGTTTCAAGGTCACAGCACGTACTCAGTGGATGAGCTGCCCTCTTAACATCATCTAGTTTTGTGGGTAGGAAATGTAAGAGTCAAGGGCAAAGATTTTATCTTTGGTGCAGGGAGGATGGGCAGAGACCCCTGGGGGGGAAGGAACTGCTACCAACTGAAGGTGGACTGACTGCATGGGGACAGCACGTATAGGGAGCATGTATTCCTAGAAGAGAGAGAAGCAGCAGCAGATGGAGACTCACTAGAAATGGATTAAAGCAGCTGCTACAGAAACAAGATGTGGCATCAAGGGTCAGTTCAAATCAGAAACGAACTGCTTCTAGCAGAGCCTGACTTGACTGGGAAATGAGAATCACAGAATCACAGAATCACAGAAACCTGGGTTAATTTCCCTGCTTCGCATGAGGAGGTTCAAGCCTATATGTCCCATTTCCCCAGAGAACAGTAACCTCCACGCTATCACGTAACCTGGAGAAAGAGGTGGTGGGAGGTATAGGAGGTGGCGAGATAAATTCTGCAAGTATGAAGATTCATTTCTCCTCACACTGACTGTAGAAGTGCCCCTGTGTGAAAAAGTGTACAAATCCCACTGCCATTACTATTGACAGAGAAGAAATTCAGTGTATTATATATATACACACATTAAAACTTGCCCTTCAACTATCCTAACAGCTCGTGTACCTGGTTTCTTTCAGGTGGCAGCTTCTTTGAGGCAGAATGGCATTCTGAGGCAGAGCCTGAACCCAGCTTGGCTGACCTGCTACAATCCACTGGTACCCACATTTAAAACCTGCTTTCATCTTTGAAATTCAGCTATGGAATAGGCATTTTACAACCTCTGTAATACTTAAAGTTTTCATGCATGATAAATAAAATTACCTTAAAGGTTAAGACCTTCCTGAACTGCAGATACAAACTTGTCTGGCCAGCGCTGGAAACCACTATTGTCATCACTCCCAACAGCAAGACAGACTGTTTTGAGTACTCCTCCCTTCTCTTTCCATAGGAAGAGACTCAGGAAAGATCTTTTACTGTCTAGAGCACAGCTGTTTTGCTTATATGCAAGATACACTTTGTAAAAGAATGAAGAAATGAAATACAGTAGGTTTCATACAGTGTTTTATATACACTATGTAGTATTTAAAAGTGGTTGATTTAAAAACAAGGAACATTTCTGCACATGCTGAATGCACAGCCTTTATATTTGCCATTAAAGTGCTGTATTTTTGAGGAATACTAAATTTGGTAATGGAAGGAGATAAAGAACTAAGCCTGCTTATCCTTATGATACATAGCTCTGAGATATGACGTGGTTATTGAAAGAAATGTGTAATCCCATTGAATAAAATTTGATACAATTTTAACAGGATTTACATTTACTGAGAGCAGCAATTCTCAAGAGGAAGGGCCTCCAGAAAGAAAGGCCAGTCACCAGCTGTGAGCTCCACTTTCCTTTCAGCTGCTCAACTCTCTAATATTTTACATGACTATTTCACACCTGCGTCTGCTGCCGCTGCTCTAAACTCAGCAAGAAAGAGGGAACAATAGGACAAAATAGTTTCTACAGTGAATCAGGCCTCCAACTGCCCATGGAGGCCTTTATTCAATAAATTATGGCCTACAGGGAAGAAGGTCTCTTGTGAAAAGCAATAACCAGTGTAGAAGTGACTTCACATGACTGCACCTGGCACAAGATGAGCAATTTCCGTGAACTCTACTTTCTGATTGAGAGAGTAGCACCACTGGGGTTTTCACTGTCCACAGAATTCAGGACGAGATACACAAAACAGCCCCTCAATGCCTGAGATGTTGCCCATTCTGGAAAATAAGCATTTGCAGTACATGGTGTGAAAGAATAAAACCAGCAACTTTACAAAAAGAATGCTACTTTTATTTTCAAATGCTGTAAAAAGCCTCATATAAATTTTTATAATGCTTCTATGTAACTTTCCCAACCACGACTAATGAAACAGTCTAGGAAAAATATAGCAGTTGCCATTTTGACTCCAAGAATGAGCTGCTGTAAGATATCAACATTAAAAGGACAAGGTACAGTATGTTACAATGCTTGTAATTGCTCATATTATTGAAAAAGTGAGAGCACTTCCTAAGCATTAGAGTATAACCGGGCTAAACTGCAGTATTCCCTACTTGCTGCTGCACAGAAGGAAAATAACCTCTTCAAAAGGAGCCGACGCAACACCCTGTGTACTGCTTCTGCCCATTTTTCTTAGTGTGGAGAGCTTTCAGCAAGCCCCTTTGCACTTAGGTGAATTCACCCATGTCAGATGCTATTACTCCATACTGTATCCAACGGCTCAGGTGTTTGTGAACAATTGACCTATAAAAATAACACACAACTCTCCAGCAAGGCAAATTTAACAGTGCAAATGCAGTATCAACAATATTTGATTTCTGAATGCTGGCAATTTTTTTAACTCCTTTTGCACATGAAACAACCTCTGATGATGTCCTGGAGCTAAGGCCACTCACTCATGCTGATAGGAGATGGAACAAAGTGCAAAAGCTCAGCTGCATTTCCCAATCCAAGCTTCCTCCCCAGTTTCAGGGTATTCAGATCCAGGATTTGGATTCAGGCTCACCTCTTCCATCGATGCACTCAAGTTTTCTCTGCTGGTACGGGTTAACTTCCCAGCAAACCTCTGATTACAATTTGCATACACAATTCCACATTTTTAACAGAAGTTAACAAAACGTACTTCCAGAAAATAATTTTTCACACGGTTGCAATCATCAAGCCATTTCAGGATCTTTGGTACTCCAAGAATAAGAAAAATAAATGGCACAGTGACACACATCACCAAAGGAAAACACACAACCATCCAAAGGAATAAGACATAAAATAAACAACAGATATGTTGCACTTCCATTTTTTGAAGCCAGTGTAGATTAACCTTCTGTTCTTTTTAGTCCATACAGTGTCACAGTTTCACCTCTAAAAAAAAAAACAACAAAAAACTATCCTAAAAGCAGCAGTTAATATTCTGTTTAACTTGACACTGATTAAAATAATGCTGTGCTTAAAAAATCCCAAAACAACCAGAAAACAAACTACCACAGTGCAGGAGTTGATGCTAAACACGCTGCAGGCTGTTTCCCTATGGATATAACTCCTATGTGAGCACTGATATGATTAATTATCCTCAACTTTAAATAAGTATTATCTTTAGTGTTACAAATATGAGGGTTGAGCTGTTTTCCCAGGTTTGTAAACCAGTGAGTACGTACAGACGTTGTTTAATAGCTTTAAATCGTGTATTTATCTCCCCTCCCCTGAACCCTGCAGGATAAAGAAAAAAAATCACCAGTATTTACTCAGCATTTGCAGTTTCCATTAAACTTATCTTGTCTCAGAACATTCAAGCAAAGATTTCTGTTTATATTATGTGAATAGGGTTACTCTGGTCTTTTGAAACATGTTGTTCACAGGAATTCCACTTCTGGTGCACACAGTGCCCTATGAATGACATAGGAAATTAAAACTAGTAAAAATCCTATTTTGAATAGCAGTGTCCTTTGCGGCTAAGTTTGCATTGCAGGTATTTTCTGCTCAAGCTCCTCTGTCTTACAGAATGGACTGAAGGCCCTAAAAAAGGGAATTCCTTTCCTGAGAAGCCTCAGAAGCTGTTAGGGCACAGGCAGAATGAAGCCTGAAAGTGTAAAGATGGACTGAAGTGAGTGACCATCTTTGGCCAGTCTTTGGATGGTTACAGGCTGAGCTTCACTACACTGAGAAGGCTAAGAACAACACTGAGGAATTGCTGAGGGACCTTGTCCCAGCTGTATAAGGTCTGGGAAAAAAGAAATAATAATGTGGAGATCAATGAACTGTTCCCAGGTAGTGATGAGCATTTAGGCAAAAGCAGAAACTGCATAAATTGGATGGTCCTTGATGCACTGGGTACTCCCCTTTGATGGCCTTAAGACTACAAATTTTGGCAGAAATGCAGTATAAATAGCATATTAGATGCTTGAAGGGAAACAAAAAAAAGGAAAGACATCACTGAAGGCCTTGAACCTGGTAGCTGTTGGATCAGGGAAGACCACGTGCACATGAATGTGCCACATAAATCTGGCCGGCAAGTCGGTTTTTTTATGCAGAAGATGAACACCCCAGTGTTTTTAAAGCATACAAATAACTCAGAACAGCTGCACCATGGTGCCTAACAGCAATAAATATTTCTGTAATGGCTTTATAAATAGTCCCTTCCATTCTGCTGCAAAAGCCAGCCTAATGGAGCCTTCCCTACTCTAAGCAAAAACATCCTGTGCTTCACTCCAGCGGGTGCTGCAGAGGTTTTAGAGTGTCTGTCATTTCCGTTCAGAGGAAGACAGCACCAGTGACTCTGCTTGTTTAATTACAAGGGAATTGTTGGTTGCTGCAAATCTCTTTTAACCAGAAAGTGACATCAAAAATCTCTGCTGTATTGTGATAGATCCAAAGTATTGCAGATAATGTGCTAGTACAAGCAGAGATACAGGTAAATTTGTCAGCGAGCAGTTAATCGTGTACTGTTGAGGTGTGCAATTCAATCCTCAGCTGCTGCTGGGCTGAGAAACAAAACCATACACTACATATGGAAGGATTTCTGCTTCAGTTTCCTTGACCTAGGAGGAGACCTGTCTCTGCTGCAAATCAGTCACCATCCTGCAGACCGGGAAGAAAAGCCATTGGATGTTCTGCCTAATTCAGTCATGGATGTTTGCAGTTCTTGGAAACTGGACAGCAGACTCATCTGATCCTTTGCAATCCCATGGTCCATGTTAGATGGAGATACTAGAAGACAATGGAGCCCACAGGAGAGTCTGACACAGGGTATTCTAGAAAGACAAGGCTAAAGCAGGATCCCTTCTGCCTGGAACTTCTCAGGGTGACAAAAAAAGAAAAGCAACAATTTGATCACTCTTCTAGAATACATTTTTGCACTGACAGATGAGGCTATTTGAATTACAAGCAGCAAAAAGATGATCTGCTTTACAGCAGAGGCAGGAATGCAGTCCTGGAAATTGCCATATCTTCAGAACTTGGAATCAGAAAATCTCCCTTCTGTGAAAAATCTTTATAATTTTTACTCAGACTCCTTTTTTCTTCTGAAGTTGCCAAAAGGTGTCATCATCTTAAACAGTAATACCCACCAACTATCATTTACAGCAAAAGTATCACTGAACAGAACACAGGGACAGTCTCACCACCACACACAGTGGGAAAAGGAAGGAAGAGAAGAAGGAATGGTCAGATGATAAAGCCCTCCAGTGGACAAAAGCAAAGGTAGGCAGGGTACAAATAGGCCCACAGGACATTGCTATTTAAAATAACTCAATGTTGCCACAGTCATGGGGTATCTGCAGACCACAACTGGAACATCCTGGAGCAACTGTTCAGAGCATTTTGCAAATGTGGACAATGGGGTTTTATACTGCATATCTAAGACCCAGATAAGCAGTATAGTAACAATGCTGCATAAAAGGATATGTTTTACTCCTATCTGGATTAGATGTTTTACAGTACAAAGCCACAGTACAGAGAGGCATAATTAACCGTTATACACACATAGGCAGTGCAGTTAAAGGGATGTACGTTCCTTTTATTCCAGTACCTTTGCATAATAAAGTTAACAAAAATATTCAAATATTAAAAACAAAAGAAAAACAAACAAAAAAAACCCAAAAAAGAAGAAAACAAAAAAAACCAGCCAGCTGGCACTGCCAACTAATTCCTGTAGTAGTCTCAGAAATCCTAATCCTGTAGAATTTCCTTGTGAAATTGATGTGCACCAGAGTCAATGTATTGATAACTAATGCCAAGCAGGTCTGGTGATGCAGCTACCTGAGGTTTGTTTTTTTGTATCTTTTGTGGGGTTGTGTTTTGT